CACCCATAATCATTGCACAAGCAATATTTCAGTTCCTTCAAATTGCTAGTAGTTGGTGGATGGCTTGGGCAAATCCCCAAACAGAAGGAGACCATCCGAAAGTGAGTTCGATGGTCCTTCTTGTTGTTTACATGGCCCTTGCATTTGGGAGCTCTTGGTTTATATTTGTTAGAGCTATTTTGGTAGCTACATTTGGTCTAGCAGCTGCACAGAAGTTGTTTGTGAAGATGCTTAGAAGTGTGTTCCGGGCACCAATGTCTTTCTTTGACTCAACTCCTGCTGGACGGATCTTGAATCGTGTAAGCCTCTTGTTTTTGCTGGAATTTATGTGACTTTCTGTTTGTGAAAACACGTGTTACACAAACTCCTTTCATTTGCATTTTTAACTTTTGAATCGTTTACAATCTATAGGTATCAATTGATCAAAGTGTGGTGGATCTTGATATTCCTTTTAGACTTGGTGGGTTCGCTTCAACGACAATACAACTTATTGGTATTGTTGGTGTGATGACGACAGTTACCTGGCAAGTTTTGCTTCTTGTTATTCCTATGGCCATTGCTTGTTTGTGGATGCAGGTAATTAAATTTGTTGCCCTGATATTGTTGTTTTAAGTACTCTTTGGTATTTAGAAATGAAGAAGAAAAAAAAGGGTATTGCTCACTGTTAGTATCATATTCAATTTCTAGCATCTCCTCTAAATTGTAGATAAATCTGATTTTAGAACTTTAATGACATAAGGTCTCAAAAAATACTTTGCATCTCTTCTTCAAATAATTGGGGGGAATACAATTACTTTTACAATTTTATTTCTGAATATATAAGATTCAGAAACTATGAGTTCGCTAAGTATTAATGCACCATCATTGTGTGGAGCCTGCAGTGATTGCTACAGAGAAAAGCATGTAAATGATTTTGATCAATTCCTTAACTTTGAGTAGCCTTATTCTTTTGTCTTTTTGTCATGTTGTGTATATGAATCTTCGAGCTAATTACTTAATGTTATGAAAAACTAATTCAAAGGGTCTAAGATCTTTTTCCTGTTCCCCGTTCTGCTGAAAGTTATTAAATATTGCACCTGAATGTAAGCATTCTGTGATGCAGAAATACTACATGGCTTCATCAAGAGAACTGGTCCGAATTGTTAGCATCCAGAAGTCTCCAATTATCCATCTTTTTGGTGAGTCAATTGCTGGAGCTGCCACGATAAGAGGATTTGGACAAGAAAAAAGGTTCATGAAGAGGAATCTTTATCTTCTTGATTGTTTTGCTCGTCCATTCTTCTGCAGTATTGCAGCTATTGAATGGCTCTGCCTGCGCATGGAACTACTCTCAACCTTTGTATTCGCTTTCTGCATGATTTTACTTGTGAGCTTTCCTCATGGAAGTATCGATCCAAGTAAGTTTATGTCTTATACTACTAAAGTTATCTATATGTTATCATGAGAATTGAGTTCTGTAAAACATGAGGTGAATATGAATCACAGAATGGGCATTTCAAAGTGTGCACACACAGATAAAAAATCTCTGAACTTCGTCTGGGAGTATCCACGACATCGTATCTCTTTCATGCTGACATTTCCTTGTGACATGGCTACACTGTAATTTTAACCTGATTGAGTCTCTGAGATCATAATTTTCAACCATCATATCTCATAAACGCATTGTTTACATTTTAATTTGTTGTAGTTTTCATTCAGTAGCGCACTTCGATGTGCTTTGTAGAGCAAAAGAAATCCCCTTTCTGCTAGCTTTAGAATACTGAATAGGTTTGAAAACTGGATTGGTGTTGACATAGTTTAAAGCTTAGTCTCAAATGATTGGATGACTTGATGGGAAGATGATAGAGTAGAGTTTACAGACTATGACAAAATGACATATCTAATGATAATTGGTTCTTTCATGAAGGCATGGCGGGCCTTGCTGTGACATATGGCCTGAATTTGAATGCACGCCTATCACGGTGGATACTTAGCTTTTGCAAGCTTGAAAACAAGATTATTTCTATTGAAAGGATTTATCAGTACAGTCAAATCCCAAGTGAAGCTCCACCTGTTATTGAGGATTCTCTTCCTCCATCTACATGGCCAGAGAATGGAACAATTGAAATAGTTGATTTAAAGGTATGCTGCCTGCAGTTCAATTTCATGTTATCTTTACATGTCCTTGTAATTAATGTCAGGGATAAGTTTTTTGTTGTGCCTATTCTTTGTTATGGGGATACGTTTTGTTATGCTTATGCTTAATTTTAGGAATAATATGTAGTTATATTGCAATTGGATTGCAAAATGAAAATGCTAACAGTCCTGCTTCCTTCTTCCTTGTTTCCTTTGAAGGTTCGTTACAAGGAAAATCTTCCTGTGGTCCTTCATGGGGTAACTTGTACTTTTCCTGGTGGAAAGAATATTGGAATTGTTGGGCGTACTGGAAGTGGTAAATCTACTCTGATCCAGGCATTATTTCGACTAATTGAACCAGCAGTGGGGAGGATCCTAATAGACAATGTTGATATTTCAACGATTGGTCTTCATGATCTCCGTAGCCGTCTCAGTATCATACCCCAAGATCCTACCTTATTTGAAGGGACCATTAGGGGCAATCTTGATCCCCTTGAAGAGCATTTGGATCATGAAATTTGGCAGGTTTGACTACTGTTGCATATCCTATCCTTCTCATTTTGGAATCTGACTGCATTTTTCGCAATTCAAGTAATTTTCTTATTACTTAAGCAGCAGGGGGTATTCTTTAATATAACTATCAACATATTTTAGTTTAATACTGGTCCTTGTATTAAGTCTATGTTGATCCTTGAAAACCAAGGATTATGTTATTGAAAAGTACACAGAAAATTAAAGTGTTTTTTAGGAATTCGTACACACATGTATTATACACATAGTTCCTAACTAGGGTTGGATTTATTCGGTACAGGCACTTGACAAATCTCAGCTTGGAGATATAATCCGTGAAAAAGAGCAAAAGCTTGATACACCAGGTACGAGTTAAATCTCTTACCCGGGACTCTCTAAATAAAGGAAATTAGAATGTCTTGGTTTGTGTGTAGCTACCAATGAGTTGTATTTTTATGTTGAAATTGCAGTGCTGGAAAATGGAGATAATTGGAGTGTGGGGCAGCGACAACTTGTTTCTTTGGGCAGGGCATTGCTTAAGCAAGCAAAAATACTGGTGCTTGATGAAGCGACAGCATCAGTTGATACAGCCACAGACAATCTCATTCAGAAAATTATTCGAACAGAGTTTAAGAACTGCACTGTGTGTACTATTGCACATCGTATCCCAACCGTAATTGACAGTGATCTTGTACTGGTACTCAGTGATGGTACGTACAGTTGCATTTTTTGAAGGGTGGCACACATAATTACATTTTATGAATTTCCAGTAGACTCAGTATTCATCAAAAAGTAGAAAAATAGTCTAAAGTCGTGATTGAAAAATAAGTTCCTTCTCTTAAACCATAATCTGTTTTGGTTAAGAAAATGTAAGAGTTTGCACACATTTCTTTGCAAGTTATTGAATCTTTATGTGCACTAGTGAGGGACTCAACTTCAGTAAGTTATTCGTGTATTGCAAGTGCTCATTAACTGGATATTCTTGTGACATGATTCTGCATTTCCTTGAGAAAGTTTATTCTTTGGTGCTTAGGGCGGGTTTTTAAACACCATATTTGATGGTTTTGCAGGTCGAGTTGCAGAGTTTGATACTCCTACAAGGCTATTAGAAGATAAATCATCCATGTTTCTAAAATTGGTAACAGAATATTCATCAAGGTCTAGTGGCATACCAGATTTTTGATTCGGATGTCATGGCTAAGAACTCTTGATTCAAAGGCAACAGCAAGAGCAGATGATTACAAAATGAGACAGTTGATGCCACCAGGTTCATTGCGGCTGCTGCTGCATTCGGGAAGTTGAAAGATAATGGGAAGGATAAAGGTGCATGTCATGTTATCATTCCAAAACCCCATTGGAGGAAAATTATTTCTAATTTACAGTGATTATGGGTTAATTCATCCCCCAAGCCGAATCGGGGAATTCTTTCATGGTCAGTGTACTTAGACAAATAAGTTGGGATGATGAGAGTCGTAATAAAATTACAAGAGGCAGAGATGGGGGGTATATTTGTGTTTAATCATGTTGAATAATGTAGTCTCTAGTTGAAGGAGTAGGCCTATTTATTTAGTTAGGCAATAGGTGCAGCTGGATTAGTCAATGTTTTTGGTCTGAAATGAGTCAATGTTTTATTCCACAGCAGAATGTTTAGACCCTGGTGCTAGAATATCATAATACCACATTTTGTCCCTGTTTCCTTTGTCACTGAATGGATTTCACTTGAAAATTGAAAACTTGCATATAAACTCTGTTCTGGTTTATGACACATTGACCATGCTCATGCATGATTCTGTAGAAAATTGAACAATCAGGCGGATTGAAAATATATCAGGTATTTTGCTCATGATCCTTGACCTATAAAATTACTTTCAAACAGCCTCCAACGGATTAGGATCTCATCATAAATTAATTACATGTTCAAATAAAAGACTGTTTTAACATGGTCAAGTTGGTGATCATGTTAAGTTGTCAAACTATCATACACTCAGTTCAAACAAAACCCTAATCAACTGTTCACATTTACAGTCCGATAACCTAACATATTAGATTGTTTAACAAGAAAACAGTTCTCACAAGCATACCCTTATTTCTAGTTTGGCCAAATTTCACTTTGGTCCCTAAATTATACTTTACTCCATTTAATTTCAATTTTGGAAATTTTGCCACTGTAGCTTGCTGACCTAAACTAGAATTTGACTCAAATTACATAAACCAAAAATTTGGCCAAACAAATCAAGATTTGTCATCATAAGGGCAATAATGTCCCTTGATTATCTGTAAAAAACATCTCTTTTCAAACAAGTGGGTCATTTGTAGAGCCCAATTTGTATCCTATAGGCCCAAAAACAAGCTTACAGCATCACAAAGCAATAGCATATGCCCAAATCAGCACCACCTCCATCTTCTTCACCCAGCCCTTGTTCTTTCGCACGGGTTCTTCTCTCGCTTCTCTCTTGCTCGCTCTGAAAACTGCAGCTGAGCACGATGCAGGCCATTTCGAAGCGTGTCGGGCACCAATACCTGACTCCCTCGTCTTCAATCTCGTCGCTCAAGTCAATCTACCCTGTTTGCGATCACTGTAACCCCCCATTTCCTCTTCATTTCTTAGGGTTTGATTCTCCCTAATTTCGTGACGTTAATGTCTCAATTTGTCAATTTTGTAGATTATGGAGCTGATCGTCCAAAGTACGGATCTACACTCGCCACTAAGGGAGTGGGGCACCTTGTGCGCAAGGGCACAGGTGGAAGATCATCTGTTAGGTAACACTCCAATTCATCATTTCTAGTTACGCATTGTTCAGTCTGGAAAAGGTAGAAAATTTAAAGAGTGAAAGGGTTAGATTGTTGTTGCTCCGTTTGTTTTCGGGCAAAATGTAGGAAAAGTTCTAACTTTTTGTCAGAAATTGATTTACTCTATTAGGACAGGATAGATTTTTATCTCTTACATTTGCATTAGCAAGTAAAATTTTCATTGGAAATGGAATGTAACTTCTAAGAAGCTAACTACCAGCTCAAGTCTTGTGAGAAAAATGTTTTACGATTGCGTCAGGTGAACATAATGTCCTATTAATGGTTTAACTATACAGATGAGTCAAGCTTCTCGTTTCTGAATGAAAAAATTAGTAAAAGAAAACCTAGACAACATAGATATTGAATCTGTTGATGTATTTCTTCCCTTTGTGTTTCATATCTAGAAAGTAAACATTATGTTGGTCTCATTGAATAATGTGTTTTAGGTGAAATTATTCACTTTGCGAATTTAGACACTTTAGAGGGATTGGGCTTGCAATTTTAAGTTGTCCCATAATTGTGTTGTTTACATTGTTTGGAAAATAATCTGTCTTTTTTCAGTGGCATTGTTGCTGCAGTTTTTGGATCTACAGGGTTCCTTGGTCGTTATCTTGTACAACAACTTGGTGAGCTAACTGTATATAAATGATTTTAATTGGTGGCATTGTTACCTGCATGCATTTATTTCGATTGTGCTTGTTTTCATTGAGAACATTTCTAGTAGGAGATTGTTGGACTGAAATTGATCTGTGAAAATACGTTTTTTATCTTTTATCCTTAAAAAAGACAGAAAAGTGTTTATAGTATTTTTCATGCATGTGTGTGCTGACTCTTTACTTCACTGCCAGCCAAAATGGGAAGTCAGGTGTTAGTTCCTTTCCGTGGTTCTGAAGATTCCCATCGTCATTTGAAGTTGATGGGGGATTTGGGACAGGTAGGGTAACCTGTGTTGTTTCACATATTTAAACATTCTTTCTTGACCGGCAATGCATTTGTTCTCCATTCTTCAATCTATCATGTTGCTGATCTTCTCACATTTCACATACACAGATAGTACCTATGAAATACAATCCGAGAGATGAAGATTCAATTAAGGCAGTCATGGCGAAAGCTAATGTGGTTATCAATCTTATTGGTATAAATTCTTCTATTGTAATTTTACATGTTAAAGATATTTAAATCTTTGGAATCAATGAAGGAACACTTTGTAGCTTGGCAGGGAGGGATTATGAGACAAGAAACTTTAGCTTTGAGGAAGTGAATCATTCCATGGCCGAACAACTGGCAACGGTAGGTATCCTGCATTGACATTCACAACATTATTTGTCATTCTTATGCTGCTTCTGATCCTAGTGCCATCTGCTTCTCTTAAAAATTGGTTTCACAAAGCATCAAACTTAACAAAAATGGGAGTAAAAAAGTGGTTCTAGTCAAGATTATTTTGTCTCAGTGACAATATTTTGTGTATAATGATCTTCTCCAACAAGCTGCAGTCTGAGATGCTGCTGTAAAGCCTGCAATTGAACTTTTCTTTCAAGATAGTTATAGAAGGGTCGTCTTGTGGGATCTCTCCCCCTCTTTCATTTGGTAGTAATGCATATACTGTTTTTTACTTCAATATTTTATTTTTATGCAGATTTCCAAGGAACACGGTGGTATCATGAGATTTATTCAAGTTTCTTGCTTAGGGGCATCTTCCTCATCACCCTCCAGATTTCTGAGGGCTAAAGCTGCTGCAGAGGAAGCAGTATTACGTGAATTGCCAGAGGTAGAATCATTTTCTTTGGTTTCTTGTATGTTGATAGGTTTATTTCAGGAGCATAGTGTCTAACACTCACTTTCATGAATAGGCCACTGTTTTGAGACCTGCTGTGTTGATTGGTACAGAGGACCGAATTTTGAATCGCTGGGCCTTTTTTGCGAAGAAATATGGCTTTCTTCCACTTATTGGGGATGGATCTACCAAGTATGTCTTTAATATATCAATTGGAAGTTAGTTAAATTTAAATTTTAAATTAGTGTAAAATAACAACTTTGATCATGCACTTGCATGCCTTTTTCTAAACCCTCATTGGATATTTTGCTTGTAATGCCTTCCATGCAGAATCCAACCTGTATATGTTGTTGATGTTGCTGGGGCAATCGTGGCAGCCTTGAAAGATGATGGCAGCAGCATGGGAAAAGTTTATGAACTGGGTGGGCCTGAGGTCTTTACAGTGCATCAATTGGTAATTACTAATTTCTCATCTGTTTATGTGAATTTGTTGCATCAATGTGGAATTTTCTCTTGCTAAGAACCTAAAAACTGCAGGCAGAGCTAATGTTTGAGACAATACGTGAATGGCCTCACTATGTGAAGGTTCCTCTCCCAATTGCAAAGGTAAAACATGTAACGATGCAAATGTGTATGGATGCCAAGAGTGAATGATAGTAACTAGTACCAAACCCCAACCCCCAACAAAAAATAGAAAGTGTAATAGTGTGTCTTCAACATTTTCTTTCCATTATCATGTCTTGTGGATGTATTTATAACCATATCAGTGCCTGGTCTCCCAGTCCTAGTTGCATGCCAGATGAGCTAACTGCATGCCTATGTATGCCTATTTTCAATAATGTTTACTTGAACCTCAACTGTATATGAATTTGAATGTTCCAGGCAATTGCAGCACCTCGAGAAATATTATTAAATAAAGTTCCATTTCCATTACCTAATCCTGAAATCTTCAACCGAGATCAAATCCTTGCCCAAGCTACAGATACAGTCGTCTCAGAAAATTGTAAGTTCAATACTTTTTAGGATGAGTCGCGTAGTTCCTTCTTCCCCGTGTTTTTGTTTTTTCATCATTTTCTTGTCTATGATTGGTTAGTTTTCTCATTTTCCTTAATTTTGTGGTGGACTTTGTAGCTTTGACTTTCAGTGATCTTGGACTTGTGCCCCATAAGCTGAAGGGTTACCCTGTTGAGTTTCTTATCCAATATCGTAAGGGTGGCCCGAATTATGGTTCTACAGTCAGTGAAAGAGTGTCTCCAGATGCTTGGCCATGAGTCTCTTAGGCTTTTTAATTCTCAAATGCTTTTTAAGTCCAGGAGTGCAACCCACTTGGAAACTTTGAATCAGGTTTGAGGTGCAAGACTTGTGTTTCATTTTTTTTTCTTTTTTCCATTTTCCCCCACTGGTGGTATTCAGAATAAATGTATTAATAATGTGAAGGTCTACGACCATTCTATTTCAAAATTGTGCCCATTGTGATGATCTACATGGGCTTTTGGGGGTTGCTAATGATTATATTCTTGGTAATCACAGGTTTTCAGAGGGTAGGTTGCTTCTTTTGAGAAAAAGTAGGAAGCAATAAAAGATATGGAGAGTTATGCTTTTATGATTTTCATATCTGTAACATTTGACTGAATTTCAACCATTTGTAATTTCAAGATATTTGGCATCTTGTTTACTTGTTCATAAGCCCTGAGCCATGAAGGGAATTTGATGTATCTTATTATCTTTTTTTGCTTAATGTCCTTGTAGTAGTGAGATGGGAAAATGATGGGGTTTTGTTGGCTGTAATTCTACCCTTTATAAATTAAATTTATAGATTCTATTTTCAGCCGTACAAACCATTCTATATTTTATAGTTTTCTTTCCATCCTGATGATATTAAAAACACTCCATGCATAATAAAACAAGAAAATAATATTATCAGAAAAGAAAAGAAAAATCAACGACGACCAACGTCTGAGATGGAAATGCAACACTATTTCTAACTGAGGAGGCAAATACAATTTACTGCTTAGAATGCTAGTTTGGCTTAAAGTCGTCATTCAACAAGAATATTTGCTTTTCTTGCCAAGTCTTTATGCCAAACTCATAAAGCAAGCAAGGAAGCAAGAAGCATGATTTGGAACTATAGTCTGAAGAAAAGCTTGATGGAGCCAAATTGACGCATCAAACACATTATGGAGCCAAATGCAGGCCATGACGAATTCTTTGAACGCATCAACTTAGAAGGAAAGAACACCGGGGCAGCATTTTTCATACGGCCGGGCACCGGAGCTGAGACGCACTCTAGTGATTGTTGCTGCATCAACATTTATATAAACAGCAATGTTCAGGGAGCTAACAATTCCTTTCTGGATGGGAGTTGTGTGAAAATGAAGGATCCAGGAGTTCACTTGTTCTTTGGAGACGTGAAGTTGGGCAAGTCTTTAAGAAGAAACAAGATGAAGAGAAAGAGAAGGAGAAAGAAAGAGGAAAGCCCATCTGCTTCGAAGCAGCAGCTAGGGTCTTGTCCCATTTTTTTATTTGTATTTTTCCCATTCATCTTGTTCCTTTCATTGTTATGTCCATGAAATTGGGATTTGTATGCAAACTTTTTTGTTCTTTTGACGACAAAACAAAACAATAGATTTCGCAGAGCAGAAAATATAACTATTTGTGAAGTGAAACTTATCCAAACATCACTTATCTACATACGTAAGTGAGTCTTATCTCTTCTCTTATAATAGTAAAAGAAAACTCGGGTAAACTTGGCAAGATTTAAGCTCTAGAAAAGAAACTTGTGTTCTCTCTCTCTCTCTCTCCCTGGTCCAGATCTTTAGATCCATGAAGATGATCACAAACAGTACACAAAGATCCCTTGTGTTGTGTGGTCAGACTCACAGAGATGTATAGTGGTTGCCCACTCTCTCATGCATATTAAAATTATGATGCCCAACCTCCAGCACAAAGTAGACAGGAGCTTCCTTACATGCTGTGATGTAATTGCAGGCTTAACGCTAGCCTATAGCTGCTTGAATAAAATAAATAATGGGCCTCACGACCTACCTACATATACACTCAAGGACAAAGGAGAATAATTTTATTGTACGTATGAAGCACATTTTGTCACTTCAACCCAGCAGTCCTTTTCTTGTCTCTGGTGAGAAAAATTGTGCTCCACCACTAGTCCTTGTATCTTAGGCCTACAACAATTTAATTATGTGATTAGTTTATAGTTAGAAATGGAGAATCATGCTTATGGGTTATGATCGTATGATTATATTCCACCTTTAATAAAGTAATTAATTAGGTGATGAAAAGATAATTTTATAATCAATTGAATTCGAATGAAGCTCGGATTAAAATCTTGTTTAATGACCAAACAAAGTAGAAAAAGTTGTCCTAAATTATTTGTTGGTATCATTGTCATAATTGTGAATTCCTTTACCCTTTCGCAGCTCCCAATAATTGTGCATCCCTAGACTAATGTCACCATGTTCATTGCTAAAAATGAGACACTTGAATATATATATGTATAATAAGTAAGAAAACAAAAAGTAACCACCTAACCACATTGCGTATGTGACTTTTCTCAAAAAACCCTAAGCCCCTTTTTCCCAAAAAAAAACACTCATAGAGTCGTTTTCACTTTGAGAGAGAGAAAGCCAGTGTTCTTCCTCTACCTCCTCTCTTTTCTTCCTTCCTTCACCTCTTCCCTTATTTTCAAAGACAAATGATTTTCCATATTTATCTTCGTTTTGTTATGATTCTCATCCAACCATCTAAGGCGGCTGCATCTTGGCGTCGAATTTCCACCTGTGTTTTGGCATCGGATTTCCACCACCATCCTTTTTGTGGTTTCTTTATGTTTAGAATAAGTTACAGAAACTCTTTGGGTTTTTTGTGTAGTTTTCACATTTCCTTTTGTGAGAGCTTTTCACATCTCATTTGTGATAGCTTTTCATTTCAAGTTTTATCTCTTTTTGATTTTTCTAAGTTTGCAATCTTAGTTGAGATTTCTATTCTAGAGTTTTTTCGATCTTGTGTGATTGTTAGTAGAGGTACACCAGATTGTCTTAATTTTGATGTTAGACCGCTCCGTTATTGTAATGACCTTTTTGTGGCGAGTTTGTATTGACCCTTTGTGACTAATGATTTTTTGGCTAAATTATGAATGCAACCATAGAATTTTTTATTTTTAAAAAGAATATATATATATATATGTATAATATTTACAGAACCCTATCTGTTTTGAGCATCTAAAAATCATTAGAGTAAAGAAGGCAGTAAATAAAATAGATATTTTTTGGGCAAAGTGGAAATTTACCATGCATGAGCCTTTTCCTTGATTGGGCAGGAGCAGTGTGGGGATAGAGAGTAATGCCATGATTTGCTTTGAAAATCCAATTAAGCTTCCTCATTAGATGGATCCTGTCCCTCCCAGTCACCAGTCACCAGTCACCAGTCACATGCAGATGCAGGAGAAAAAGGTTTGTTTGGGACAACCATGGTTGCATGATTCCAAGCCTCGAGACAGCGCCATCTTCGCCACATCACTCTCTCTTCACTTGGAAGTTGAGTTTTGCAAACTATCTGATCGACTGTAAATTAAGAACTTGGTTTGAAACAACTTATGTAAGAAGCACTTGTACTCATCATTAAGTGTTTTTATTTTATTTTTTTTATTTTGATCAAATACACATAAGTGCTTTCTTTATAGACGTTTCAATTAGAAACACGTCAAAATTTTTATTAAAATGTTAAGTACTCTATGATGAAATGTAATATATACTTTTTTATAAAGCGCTTTTATGAGTCATAAAGCGTTTTTAACCATTACAAAAGCTGACTAGATGAAATCACAACAAAATGTACACTACCCAATTTCATTTTCCATCAATAAATTGGTTGCTCTCTCTCTCTCCAAATCAATAGGTATTGACAGGCACGTTTTATGTCATTTTCCTTATTGGAAATCCAACTATGATTAGCAAATGAGATGATTGTTCAAAATTACTTTGCAAATAAGAATAAAGTAGCTCTTGCAATTATGAATTTATGATGGGGCCTAAAATGTCAAATTCGGAAATACTGATTTTTTTCTAAAATTTTCTTATTCATCATCATCAAGAGTAACAAGATTCCATGTATTCTTAAGTGTCATTTGTGGTTACCATCTTCGTATAAGTCTCCTCTTTCACACCTTACAATTTACTCTAATCCGGCCTTAATATTTTGAGACCCACCTGTTCCACCCACTCACTGACCTCCACGTGTCCAATTAACATTTGTCACTCAACCAAAAAAGAGTTTTATTCTAATAAAAAAAGAGTTGGATTTGAAGTGCCAAAAAAAAAGCGTGGGATTTTTAACTTCATGCAACGCAATTTGAGGGACGAGGAATGACATCACCTTCCTCAACGCGACACGTCTTCCCAATCATGCCACGCGGCGAAATCCTACCGGCTACCGACATGATACAACACCCGGCTTACGCTGCTAACATGCGCCACCATTTCATATCTGGACTCGCCGACTTGCGAGCTCATAGTCATATTATATACTCTCAGTCTCTCTCTCTCTGCCTCAGCACAAAATTGCATAAAATTCTCAATCTTTCTCGGCAAATCAAAACCTCTGTAAGTCTCTTTCTCTTAATTCACTAGTTAGCATTCCTTTCTTCGACTTTTCCCTTTTTCATGTTTAAAAGTTTGTCAATTTTGTATCTTTATCTCCAAGACAACCTGTAACTGATTTTTTTTTTTTAATTTTAATTTTTTGTAATTTAACAGATGGAACCAACTCGGTCATTCCTCTTGATTCGTGGAATTCAAATCTGGGTTCTTCTACATTTGGTCAATTTTAGTTAGTCCAGGTACATCTGTAGCTAAATATTTGTTCCTGAAATCTCTATTTCAGTTGGAGCTGTGAAAACAGCAAAAAAAGAATCTTTCTTTTTTATTTGGGAGCTGAATATAAGTTCACATTTGTGTGTTCAGAAAAAGGGTTTTTGGCATAGTCTTGTTGCTGTAAGTATTGGGGTGGAGGGTTCTGCATTTGGGTTTGTGTGTGAATTTGGTGATTGATTGAGTTGATTTGGGATTTGGGTTTTGTGTGTGAATTTGGTGATTGATTGAGGGGATTCGGGATTTCAATTCGAATGGGAATTCGATGCTTGCTTGATTGATTGGAGTTTGAATCCAATGAGACGCCGCTCTCCGACCAGTGTACCATCCGAGCAAATGGAGAAGGGGACAGGAAAGAGTCAGAATACAAGAATCTGTTTCTTGGCCTCATTGTCTGTGTTCTTCTGGATGTTACTGTTGTACTTCCATTTTGTTGTGCTCGGAGGTAGTACTGTAGATCAATCTGTCAAATTACAGTTACAAGCCGGTCCTGTTTACACAGAATTGAAGCCTACCCGTGTAACTAGTGATCCTCAGCTAGAAAACCAAAACACTGAATCGAAACCTATCCATGTAACCAGTGATCATCAGATGGACAACCAAAACACTGTATCGGCATCTACCCGTGTAACCGATGATCATCAGGTGGAGAACCAAAACACGGAATCAACCCCTACCGTTGTAGCCCCAGCTGCTCATCAAACGGAGTCCCCTGCAAAAGCCACCCAGAAACATGAAGCGGAGAAATATCCGTTCATGAAAGCATTGAGAACTGCTGAAAACAAGAATGATCCATGTGGTGGGAGATATATTTATGTGCATGACCTTCCCCCGAGGTTTAATGAGGATATGCTGAAGGAGTGTAGGAGTTTAAGCCTTTGGACAAACATGTGCAAGTTCACAACTAATGCTGGACTTGGTCCTCCACTTGAGAATGCTGAGGGGGTGTTTGGGGATACGGGTTGGTATGCCACGAATCAGTTTGCCGTGGACGTCATATTTAACAATCGGATGAAGCAATATGAGTGCTTGACAAATGATTCGTCTGTCGCAGCAGCTGTATTTGTTCCCTTTTATGCTGGGTTTGACATTGCCCGGTACCTTTGGGGATTCAATATATCAAGGAGGGATGCGGCTTCACTCGATCTGGTTGATTGGCTTATGAAGAGGCCAGAATGGGGCATTATGGGTGGCAAAGACCATTTTCTTGTTGCAGGAAGGATAACATGGGATTTTAGGAGACTGTCAGAGGAAGATTCAGATTGGGGTAACAAGCTTCTCTTTTTACCTGCTGCTAAGAATATGTCCATGCTTGTGGTCGAATCTAGCCCATGGAATGCTAATGATTTTGGTATTCCATATCCCACATACTTCCATCCAGCTAAAGATGCTGATGTTTTCATCTGGCAGGAGCGCATGAGAAGATTAAAGCGTGATTGGCTTTTCTCTTTTGCTGGTGCCCCACGTCCTGGCAATCCCAAGTCGATTAGGGGGCAGATCATTGATCAATGCAGGAATTCTAAGGTTGGCAAGCTGTTGGAATGTGATTTTGGGGAAAGCAAGTGTCATTCTCCAAGCAGTATAATGCAGATGTTTCAGAGCTCCCTTTTCTGCCTGCAACCACAGGGTGATTCGTACACACGGAGATCTGCTTTTGATTCAATGTTGGCTGGTTGCATACCTGTCTTCTTCCATCCTGGGTCGGCATACACACAATATACTTGGCATCTCCCAAAAGATTATACAAAGTATTCAGTGTTCATCCCAGAGAATGACATTCGTAAGAGGAACGTTAGCATAGAGGAAACACTAAGAAGAATTCCTCCCGAGCAGGTGAAGAAAATGAGGGAGGAGGTTATTAAACTTATTCCAAGTCTGGTATATGCTGATCCCCGCTCTAAGTTGGGGAACTTTAAAGATGCCTTTGATGTTTCTGTACAAGCAATTATTAACAAAGTTACAAAGTTGAGGATGGACATCCTTGAAGGTCGTACAGATGATAACTTTATTGAGGAAAACAGTTGGAAGTATGCTTTGTTGGAGGAGGGGCAACGTGAGGTAGGACCTCATGAATGGGATCCTTTCTTCTCGAAGCCAAAGGATGGCGAGGGCGATTCTGGTGAGACATCTGCTGAAGCTGCGAAAAATTCTTGGCATAATGAACAACGACAACATCAATCATCGGGCAGGTAACAGCACAGCAATAAGGAATCCATTCCACCAATGGCTAACGCATGAAGACAACAGATTAGCCTATGTGCCTTCTTGCATCGTGTTCGGGCAGGTATGGGCTCTTGCTGGTTCCTTGTCATGAACACTCATCACAGAACTCACCTTCAAGATATCCAGAGACCAACATTCTTGTTCAAATCCAAAACATACAAATAGTTTCTGCTTCTAGTGCATTTTTCCTATACGATATTTATACTTTCTGCATTGTGTAATTTTTGGTAGTTATTCTTTGTGATGTAGTCTAGCCAAGCTTTCATGTTCTTATCATCTTACAGGGAATAAAAATGAGTAATTATTAGCCCTTTATGTTATCATGCTAACTAAATTCAAGTATGATGTCGCCCACAGACAATTCATTTTATTTGTTACAGGAGAGCTGTGATACCATAAGCTTAATCATCTGCACAAAATTTTGCATATCTGTTATCTTTACCAAAGTTGAGCTACTTTTTCGGACTGCAGGTTTGACCAAATTGTGTATAACTTTATTTACCCTTTCCATATATGATTCAATTGACTGTAAAGAAATTGAAAACAACTGTGAAAAGAGCTGAGCATGAAGAGAATGTGGGACAAAAGATGAGAAGGAAAGAAAGGACTTGAAAGAAGGTTCCCAAAAATTGAGGTGTATATATCTTAGTATTAAATTATTAATGGACTCTAAAGTGTCTACTATATCCTAGTTTAGTTTAATTATACATCATTTGACAATTTCCACCATCCTTCCTTTCTTTTTCCTCCCTTGACTTAATTCCAGAGGTGTTTCTAGCTTGTACAGTTAAGCTGATACGAAGCTATGAGGATGTTCAACATTGACAAACAAAACCAAACCCATCATCTCTTTCAGAATTTATATTTCTCTGTTCTATTCTATGCATGCAAACTCCACCTTCTTCAAGTCCCAAAAATTTCTTTGAGTTTTGGTCCAAAGGGCAGCTTCTCCCTCTTACATGAAAAACAATGATAATTTTGTCTGGCTTTCTTAGGGCATTCCTCAGTTTGATGCAAGCCACACACAGCTAGCAGCAACTTTCTTATTCGGTTTCTGCCATCTGTGTGTACATATTCAAAGACATTCCTTTTCTACGACTCATGTTCTTTCCCCGACAATTTCGCCGCTAAAATTGAGTTTGGACCACTCTTAATTCGATTTTGGTCCCAATTTAGATTTAAACGGTAATTTAATTTCAATATGATAATCGAGTTAGTATCGTTTGAATGCAACGGTCCATTAGTAGGATAGACAAACTACAAATTAGAGTTAATCCTCCAACTTAGTTAAGTAATTTATTTTTATGTTCATCACATGCAACCCTTTGGTGATATTTTAAAAAAATTTAAATTTGCTGAGAATATGTTCATATTGTAACGCCCAAATATGGTCGCGATTGCGCTGGCAAACTTTGGACACTCTTTCTCTAATACTGCGATTTGGTTTTTCAATCTTCCCTTCTATGTTTCATGTAAAATAATTTGATCTCCAAATTTAAGGATCCTACGTGAATCCTCATTGTAATTTAATTTAATACTGCAATGGAAATCGTAAGAATCAAGAGAATATTTTCAACACCACCATCTGTCACGTAATGTTATCATTTTACTCTATAGTATAACTTTATGAATCCATTACGTACCCATAAATTATATTATTATCAGTGAATTAATAACAAAATGGGACGTGATAACGTCAATTTTTTTTCTAATAAAAATAGGGTGGCAGTAATGCACAAGCTGCATGCGGCGGAGGGAGCCATGGAGAGCAAATCCAGAGGAGAGAGAGAGAGCGTGTGGGTAAATGCAGAGCAGCACGAGAGAGAGATCAGCATTTAATGATACCAAGATTTATGTTCTCTAGTTTAGTACAACAAAAAGACAACTGAAATTCAAACACCAAATTGAGAAACAAAGATTCATAGAATTTTTTTAAAAAAGTTTAGTACAACAAAAAGACAACTGAAATTCAAACACCAAATTGAGAAACAAAGATTCATAGAATTTTTTTTAAAACACATAACTGCCTTCGGTAGTAAATGAATTAAAGCTTAACCATAAATTCCCGTGAAAGCTTTAGCTCAAGCTCTTCAGCACTACCAAGGATCCTCGTGATGTAGAGCTCTTAAATTTCACGAGTTTTGTATTTCAACTCAGAGCACTCTCTCTCAGCTCAGAGAGAAAATGCCTCCCAAACCCCAAACCCTGTTCTCAATTGATCTCATCTCCCCAACTCCTTCAAATACCCTAGACTTCTTCCTCCAAATCATGAACATTTGCAGCCTAAGCGCCATTGTTGTCATCTTAACTTTCTACCATGGATTTCAAAAAGCATCTTTTCGTTTCCATTCTATTCCTTTGCTCGGTTTGCCTTCATGCAAACACTCTCCAGACTTACATTGTTCAGCTCCACCCACAAGGTGTGACCAGCTCTTCTTTTGCTACTAAGCCTAGTTGGCATCTCTCATTTCTTCAACAAACCGTGTCCTCTGAAGAAGACGCTTCTTCTCGGCTTCTCTACTCTTACCATTCTGCCATGGAAGGCTTTGCTGCTCAGCTGTCTGAATCTGAGCTTGAGTCCTTGCAAATGCTGCCTGATGTCATTGCAATTAGGCCTGACCACCGCCTCCAAATCCACACAACTTATTCATACAAGTTCTTGGGGCTTAACACTGCTTCAAGTGATGGTGCTTGGCACAAGTCTGCATTTGGTCGAGGCACGATCATTGGGGTGCTTGATACAGGAGTTTGGCCCGAGCATCCAAGCTTCGACGATCGTGGGATGCCACCAGTTCCCAGAAAGTGGAGAGGGATTTGCCAAGAAGGGCAAAACTTCAATTCTTCGAATTGTAACAAGAAACTCATTGGTGCCAGGTTCTTCACTGAAGGTCATCGCGTAGCTTCAGTGTCATCATACTCACAAGATGTTGGTCATGAGTATGTGTCGCCGCGTGATTCCCATGGGCATGGAACTCATACATCATCAACAGCTGGGGGTGCTTCTGTCGGAATGGCAAGTGTTTTTGGCAATGCAGCTGGTGTGGCTCGAGGAATGGCTCCCGGAGCACATGTAGCAGTGTACAAAGTCTGCTGGCTTAATGGATGTTATAGCTCTGATATCCTTGCTGCAATGGATGTTGCAATTAGAGATGGAGTTGACATTCTCTCCCTCTCTCTAGGTGGCTTCCCCGTTCCACTTTTCGATGACAGCATTGCAATTGGCAGTTTTCGTGCAGTGGAGCATGGAATTTCAGTTGTATGTGCAGCAGGCAACAATGGTCCAATTCCAAGCTCAGTTGCCAATGAAGCTCCTTGGATTGCTACCATTGGTGCCAGCACACTAGACCGAAGATTTCCAGGCATAGTTCAAATGGGGAATGGAAAATACCTCTATGGAGAATCCATGTACCCAGGAAACCATCTTATGAGAGCTGGGAAAGCGCTTGAACTGGTTTATGTGACCGGTGAGAATAGTGGAAGTGAATATTGCTTCAGAGGGTCTCTCCCAAGAGCAATAGTCCGCGGCAAAATAGTGGTTTGTGACCGAGGTGTCAATGGAAGGGCGGAGAAAGGTGAAGTGGTGAAGGAAGCTGGAGGAGCTGCAATGATTTTGGCAAATACAGAGATAAACCTAGAGGAGAACTCTGTTGATGTCCACGTCTTGCCTGCAACTCTGATTGGCTTCAAAGAGTCAGTTCACTTGAAGGCTTACATAAACTCAACAAGGAGACCAACAGCTAGAATTGTATTTGGAGGTACAGTCATACGAAAATCCAGGGCACCAGCGGTAGCTCAGTTCTCAGCTAGAGGACCGAGTTATTCTAACCCTTCAATCCTCAAACCAGATGTGATTGCTCCAGGGGTCAACATCATTGCTGCTTGGCCTCAAAACTTAGGTCCCACTGGCCTTCCAGAAGATTCTAGGAGAGTAAATTTCACTATCATGTCGGGGACTTCAATGGCCTGTCCTCATGCCAGTGGAATTGCTGCTCTTATACGCTCAGCTCATCCCAAATGGAGCCCTGCGGCAATTAAATCTGCTGTTATGACAACTGCTTCGGTAACTGATCATTCAGGAAAACCGATAATGGATGGAGACAAACCAGCTGGAGTTTTTGCAATTGGTGCTGGACATGTAAACCCTGAAAGAGCCATTGACCCGGGCTTGATTTATGACATCAGGCCAGAGGAGTATGTCACTCATTTATGCAGTCTTGGATACACAAAATCAGAAATTCTAACTATCACTCACAGGAACGTTAGCTGCCGTGAAATCCTGCAGATGAACAGGGGTTTCAACCTCAATTACCCCTCCATTTCAGTAACTTTCAAACATGGTATGAGAAGTAAAATGATCAAACGACGAGTAACAAACGTGGGAAGTCCTAATTCCATTTACTCGCTGGAACTAATGGCGCCTAAGGAAGTTAAAGTGAAAGTTAAGCCTCAAAGGTTAATATTCACAGACATCAATCAGAGTTTGAGTTACAGGGTACGGTTTATATCAAGGAACAGAGCAGGAACAGCAAAAATGAGCTTTGCACAAGGGCAGTTGACATGGGTCAATTCTAAGAATAGCTTGAACAGGGTTAAAAGCCCGTTCTCGGTGACTTGGAAGTAACGGGGCTGATTGCAATCATGGCACCAGAGTGGTCATGGTAGTTCTACTCTAGAAATCAAAAAATCCATTGTTATTGTCTCATTGGATTCACATTTATGAAGATTTAAGGTTGAATATTTATCCTGGCTTTGTGTGGTAGAAAACTCGAGAGATACAAGCTATGCCCTTTTATAATCTGATAAAGGCAGAGGCTATTATTGTATTAACTACTAGTCTTCTATGCTGCTTGGAATCTTTGGACTATGAACTTTTTCTACTTAAAATGTTTCTGCAGTGATAAAGATTCATGTTACCCTCCTTTTAGTCAAATGAATTTACATATATAAATCTCATTATCTAGTATACTGATCCCTGTTTACTATCACCTATGTCCTCAATTGAGCAGAACATGTTATGAAATTTCCAATACAATATGAAATCCGAGGCAGATATAGATACAAACTTACAAGGTTATCAATGCCTTAACAAGTCTGCACCTTCATAGACTGAATTGTTTAATCTGTCACCATCGTATCATTTCTTCAAATCACAACAGAGTAATTAAAAGAAAATCGGCTTTGAAACACAATCTTTCTCACCTCTCTAACTCAAAATACATAATACTGACATAAATCTCAATAAGAACGGAAAAATTGGTTGAATCAGAAGGACCATGCTGTACTTAGATTAAACTACATGTGTGGACTAATAAGATTCCCGAGTTTCATTTGACTTTGTAGAAAGCCAACATGGACAAGATGACAGGGAGGAGAAAGACACATTGCCTCAATTTTTGATGAATTGCAAGCCATTATCATTAGCATAGCGTTCCATGAATCTCATGAATCTGTCCCAATCTCTCGTAGTCCGCATAATATACTTTGCTTCAATTCCTGCAGGCTTTCCATTGACAAATTTGGCATTGACATCAACTGATTGAAGAACACCTTCTTCATCAATCATGTAAAATCCAGTGATGTCACCAAATTCACCAGAGGAGTCAAAAACAGAAGGTTGCTCAAACTTAAATATAGCCACGCCATTTGTACCATCTTTTGATTTAGTTAGCTTCACATCTGGTATTGTCTGTTCATCAGTTCCTTGGATAAACTGAATTTTTGGTTTGACCATCATTGTAATAGATCTAGATGCTTGAGTACACCGTCTTATTGGCGCCCATTGGGGACGAGACAAGTGCAAAGACTGACCATTGAATGTGGACTTTGCACTTCCATGGACAGCCCAAGATAACAAGCCTACACAATCAGAACACATATAATCTATGCTAGTATTATGGCTATGTTTCAGAATCCATGTCTCAGTTTTAACTTTTATCAATAATTCTCTCTCATTAAATACTTGAGGAGCCCTAATGGTCTCTGGGGTTTGGGAAAGGTGGAGATGATACACCTGAATTCAAATGTTGAGCTTTGATATAGAAAACACAGAACTGAGTATGTATTTAGTAATTTCATTTGAACTGAATGGTTTAGCAATATAAATTTGGTTTATGAAACCATTTCACCCCATTTGTCCCTTCATCTATAATTTCCCAAAAGCATAACCCAGAAACCTTAATGCACTAAGTCAAATTATGACATAAAAAATCAAACCATTCACCACAGTAGTGTACTGCTTGAAATTAAATAACACCACATGCAGAAAAGAAGCCAAAAAGAGTACCAGAATGAAGGCGTGGTTGCTGCAGACAGTGTGAGACTGGAGAGGAGAATGCAAGTGACTGCAGGGTTGCCATTGCACAAGCACAGAAAGAGAGAGACAGAGAGAGAGAAGAAGATATACTAGAGACTCAAAGAGTGTTAAAAAGGAGAGTATAATTGTGGTTTGGGGATAGAGTGGTGTGTAACAAGGACAGCCATTCACTCTCAGTACGTTCTCAGCTTTTCAAAGGATTGGTGGATGGATATACGGAAGAGAGAGATTGGCACTTGCTACATTCTGGTATGTTGTTGTGACTGTGCATGTGGCCCATGAATACCCGGCAAATTTCTACAACCCGACACGTGGCATCTTCTGCTTCTTTGGGTCTAAGTCCAATAATTGTCTGGCACCAGTTGAGCCTTGTTGGTTTGGTCACAACCAAACAGCCCAATATTACAAGTCCTATACAGTTTAACCCAATTTCTTGGCCTCTTTGTTTTTGGATTTTTGCATGTAAAATTGTCAATGCATGGTCTTTGGTTTTGACTTTTGAGAATAATATGTGTGTGTTCTCTTTCTTTGGTTTTAATAAAATTAATTTTTTTTAAATTTTTTTTTACAAATGATCGTTCAAACCACTTTAAATTAATCTAATTTACATGAAGGGGATTCAAAATTTGGGTACAAAGGAGCGGACTCACTGTCCTGACCAATATGTCTAACCCACATATGCACACTTAGAATTCAACAACAACGAGAATTCCAATGTTTATCCGCATCATTACAGTCTCCAAATTAAGCATTGTTTTGATATGATTAGCTTAATGATTGAAATCAATCTAATTATTGTTGTCTTTAATATGATTTTGGATAAATTCCATATGATCCTATGATATCAGCATCAGCCAAATCATTTACAATCCATTCCTACTTGTTAGAGATTTATTTGATGTTTGATAGCCTAATCATCCTAGTGTGTCGTCTACGGCTCTAGTTTCCACTCTCCCACGACTTTTCCATAATTGTTTTACAATAAGAAAACAAAGAGAGCTGAAAATGAAACCATCTCTCTATCAAATACACATTTTTCGAGTTTTCAACATGTAAAAATTGAGGCATCAAACTTGTTGAACATCTGCAACACTCACTGTACAGTGATAAATGGAGTGAAATTTTGGGAATTATATAATATGCAACAAATAAACACGTTTAGCATATGTTCGTTTTGACTGAATTATGAATGCAATCTCATAATTTTAAAAATAAAAACAAAATTATATTATTAACTTTTTTATAAAAAAATTTGTAGATAATTACATATTTTCATGGGCATAGACTATTTCCGACTCAGAGGCCGACAAGAGAGAGTTTGTTGGTTGGTAATAAAAGATGATGCTGCAATCCAATCCAAACCGTTGAAAAATGAACGAAAAGAACAATTTAGTTTGTTCATCATGTGACCGTGAATCATGACTAGGGTCTCTCTTACTCCGACTCTTCCTCAACTGGAGCCCCTTCCCCTTTTGATAAGTCAAAGTCAGATGGCCCCAAACATTACCGCGTAACACATTGATTTCGGCGGTTGCTTTTTGGCAGATGTAATCAAGGGAAGTGGTCATTTTGAACCATGGCGGCATTGGCTCATCATAGCATTGTTAGACTCAGTCGCTTACGCATTCGGATTAATTTTGTACTGATTCTAATCATCGATGCATTGTGAATAGTTAGAATCAAGTAAAAGATGTACGCGACTGGTCGTAACATCCTTTTAGACAATCAAATACAAAATGCAAGTTGTACAACTTTATGAACATTTAGGTGGGTTATAATTTAAAGGAGTGCTAGTGTGCCACATTTCCACGTGAACATGTCACAACGCCAAAATTGAAAACTTCCATTGCTACTACTGTCCTATGGCCATCTTGTAAAATGTTGTGTAGTGGAGAAGGTGCCACACATGGGTAGAAGTATTGGAGCACTTATTGTAACCACGATTTTGGGATACAATGGAGGGCTATAGCCGTACGGATGATGAGACCCACATTACTGTATTGTCGTATAATATTGATGCTGCCATGCATTTAATTAGCTCCTTATTATAGTGGTATTTTTCTTTTCAATTATAAAAGAGGTCGCAAATTCACTAAAAAGAAAAAAAAAGTATCGAAAGAAGAGAGGAAAAGGTTTTGTGGTTAGATTAGATTGTAGCCCAACTTATGATCATGTAGAGCATTACTTCCTACTCAAGAGAGACACCAGTGTTTTACTATGATGAACACCATTATATATATATATATATATTTGGTCAAACTTGCTGCAGCTACTTATGAGAAATCCAAACAATCAACAGAACCATGATTAAAAGGTTCCAAACTTGAAAAACAAATGAAATATTGAGCGTTTAACAAATATATAATAGTAAGGGACTTTTAGCTCAAACGATTAAGAATATTTAACTCTGCACTCGAGGTTCTAGGTTTGATTTTCCGCTTCATCAATATCGCTTGTATAAAGTATATATATGTATAATATATGGTCCAATAAATTTATGATCCACACATAATGGATTATGTTAAAAAGAAAAGAGGGTAAAATAAAATTAATATCTGTAGGAAAAAGATGATGACGCAAGGGATGAAGCCAACAAAAAGAGGGGGCTTCCCATGTTGAAGATGTTTCTAAGTTGACCCGGCAAGCATTTAACAAATATATAATAGTAAGGGACTTTTAGCTCAAATCATTAAGAATATTTAACTCTGCACTCAAGGTTCTAGGTTTGATTTTCCACTTCATCAATATCGCTTGTATAAAGTATATATATGTATAATACATGGTCCAATAAATTTATGATCCACACATAATGGATTATGTTAAAAAGAAAAGAGGGTAAAATAAAATTAATATTTGTAGGAAAAAGATGATGACGCAAGGGATGAAGCCAACAAAAAGAGGGGGCTTCCCATGTTGAAGATGTTTCTAAGTTGACCCGGCGGCTACGAGACATTGCCTTATTTCTCCCGCAATATTGGACTGCCCACAGACCACCTATAGCTATATAAATATATATACACACAAATACACACAAACAAATCAAACTTCAACAATCAAACAACAACGAAACAATCCAATTCCACCAAACTTTCCCCTTTTTCTCTCTCTTTCTCTTTCTCTCTCGTCTCTGTTTATGTTAGTATACTTTGTTGCTCAGTCCAAATCGTACGTAGAAGAAGAAGAAGTCTAGAGCTGGTAGAGAATATGGCCATAGACGAAAGCGGCCTAGCCAGACGGCTGTGGTTCAAGTTCAGAGACGACTCTGTTTTCTCTCTCTACACTCCCTTCTTCGTTGGCTTAGCCTCTGCTACTCTGCACTCTGAAACTACCTTTCGCCATTTCATCTCTCAGGACCTCCATTTTCTCAAAGCCTTCGTTCTCGCGTATGTTCAAAGCATATAAATACACCCATATTGATCATTTTGATAGATACACCCAAGCTGAGTAATGGGTTTTGTTTATTTTTCTCAGATATGAATTGGCGGAAGATTGTGCAGATGATGAGGACGACAAGAATGGTTTACGCGATTTGAGAAAACGTGCCGTTGGCAGGCTTGAAATTCACGACACATTTGTCCGAGTAAGTCAATAGATTCTCGTCTCTTTCTCTCTCTGTTGACTTTCCTCCCTTGTTTTCTTGTTTGTTTACAATGTATATATGTTTGCTTGACACAGAGCTAATTTTCTTAGATTCTGTTTGGCTGCCGAGAAAACTTGCACAGAAATTAAGGGAAAATTTTGAATTGTTTTGTTATAGTTTCTTTTCCAGAAATGCAACCGTATATTAAGATTAAGACTCTGTTTTGTTTCCGTAATTAGTGGACAATTAGTCTCTTCAGGCTTAGCTCATCATATCAGTTTTTATTTCTTTGTATTTTTCCTTTTAAAAACTTATCATATGGATTGATTAATGTTGTTGTTCTGCAATAATAGCTGCATGAATCATGGTGTTCATCATTATATATAATAACCATGATCATGGTCACTAATAATACTATTGCCTCATAATTAATCATCATATTCATCACCAGATATTCATCAATTATAATATATACCATAACTGTTCACAATAATTTGACTTGTTTATTGTAATCTCTGCTACTTTTAGCTCCATTTTTGTGTTCATAATTCATGTCAGTTAGTTCTGGTTTCAGTACATGTAGTTTGAATGAAATGAACATATTATGCAGGAATGGGGTTTTGAATTCCCAAATGAGGACATTTCTAAAGACATTGCAACAACCAAATACACAGATTTCTTGCTTGCAACAGCATCAGGGAAAATTGAAGGAGAAAGATCGGTTCTGGACAAAATCGCAACCCCTTTCGAAAAGACCAAAGTTGCTGCATATACACTTGCTGCTCTGGCGCCTTGTATGAGACTCTATGCCTTCATCAGTACAGAGATCCAGGGCATTATAAGTCCTGATCAAGATAGCACTCACATTTACAAAAGCTGGATAGAAAATTATTCGTCTCAAGTTTTCGAGGTCTTTCTGATTATAAATCAAAGTGTTTTCTGATACCCTTTGTTTTAAAAAGTTGTTAATGACCAAACAAGAGTATTTATTTCAGGAAATAGCCCTGCAAAATGAAGACATGCTAGATAAACTTAGCGTTTCTTTGACTGGTGAGGAGCTTGAGATTATAGAGAAGCTCTATCATCAAGCTATGAAGCTTCAAGTAGATTTTATTGCTGCTCAACCAATTTCTGATCACCAATCTGTAGTTCCTTTGTCTCGGGTGCATGACTTTAGCAAACGCCATCTTACGATACTTTGTGACTTTGATTTGGCATGCACTGCTTTTGATTCTGCTGCCATATTGGCTGAGATTGCAATCATAACAGCACCAAAGGCTGATATGGATGGATCTGATCAAACCCAACTTGCTCGGATGCCATCAGCAGATTTAAGGAGCACATGGGATGTTCTTTCAACCCAATACACTGAACAATTTGAACAATGTGTAGAAAGCATTTTGGCCAGTGAGAGAGGTTTGATCAAAACTAATTATTAAGACTTGATTTTGGTTGATGCTTAGCATGAAATTAAACGTTATGTTCCTAAAATCTTGCAGTGGAAGAATTCGATTATGAACGTCTGTGTAGCGCGCTTGAACAACTCGCGGAGTTTGAGAGAAAGGCAAATGAAAGGGTGGTTCAGTCAGGAGTGTTGAAGGGTTTAAATGTGGAGGATATAAAAAGGGCTGGCCAGAGCCTCATTCTGCAAGATGGTTGCAGAAGCTTCTTTCAGAAGATTGTGAAGAATGAAAATCTGAAAACTGATGTTCATGTGCTTTCATATTGCTGGTGTAATGACCTCATTGTATCAGCTTTCTCTTCAGGTATGCTTTTTGGAAATACCTTGTACACATTTTTTTATTTATTTTAAAAGTGGTATATTCAATTGATATCTAATATTTTTAATTGTGCAGGAGATTTGAATGTCTTGAATGTACATTCAAATGAGTTGGTTTATCAAGAATCTGTCACAACTGGTGAAATTGTAAAGAAGATGGAGTCTCCCATGGAGAAGCTTCAAGTCTTCAACGACGTCCTAATCGACCGCAGGAGCGAAGGCAATAAACACTTGACAGTTTACATTGGAGGCTCAGTGGGTGACTTGCTGTGCCTGCTTGAAGCAGATATAGGCATTGTTGTTGGTTCAAGTTCAAGCCTAAGGAGACTAGGTGATCATTTTGGTGTTTCCTTTGTCCCGTTGTTCTCTGGCTTGGTGAAGAGGCAGAGAGAACTTGCTGATCAAGATTGTGCCTCTAATTGGTGGAAACCATTGTCTGGTGTTCTTTATACAGTGTCTAGTTGGGCTGAAATACAGGCATTCATTTTGGGTACATAAAAGCCACCTCTCTCTCTCTCTCTCTCTCTCTCATCTTTTCTCGAAGAGAAACAACATAGTATTAGTAGTAGGCTATGCGTATAGAAAGTTGGTGGCTGTATTTTCAATTGAGTGCCACAGGGCAGCCCCCCTTTTTCTTTTAGGGACTGCCCCAGAAAAAAAAAACACTATCCCTTTGGTTACTTATTTATTTGTGTTCAACTTCAGCTTTCTTTAGATTATTATATCCTTCAGGTTCAAGCAAGTTGGTGTTGAGAAAGATTTCAATGGCAACTTTCTGGCAGGTGAGAGAAAGAGAAGAAGATGTAATATAAATTTGTTTGTCTGTGAAATTTGCACATCAAACACATATTATTCTTTTTTTCACACCTTCCATTTGCTTCTGATGATATGTTGGAACTTGGATTGGAGAAGCAATTTTGGAAGTATATATGATATAAACTTGGCTACTGTTTGCCACATGGCATATATAGGTGTTGAATAAAAAATTCTAGATTGGGTAATGGGTTGCCAAAGGAGCTTGTCATGGGTTTTAATTGGGCTTAACCAATAGAAGTTGTTTGAACCAAAAAAATAAAATAAAAAAACCAATTGAAGTTTCCAATTAGCTTGGTTAGCCATTAGTCTTTATTTCTTGCCCAACTAATTTGGCATTAGGCTGGGTAACCTCAAATTACTGGAAACCAATTTGTAAGGTGGGTGCTGCTTCACATCATGAGTTTCTAAGAAAGGTACATGGATGGTGGTCATTATCGTAAGTTCATAACCAATTTAACTTTATCCATTCAACATTTGAGAGAGTCGTTCTATAGTGAGGGACTTATAAGGGTCATAGATGAGACCCTATCTTTTAACCGTTGTATCAAACTAACCAATATGATCCAGCGGCTAACCAATTTGATCAAATGGTTATTACAGAATTCTACCAACATTTGATGCAAAGTGATAGGCTGCCCTTGAAGCCCCACTAACTTGGATCTTTTCCCCTTTTTCTAGTGGTCCATAAGTTGTTCAAATGTCCTATAAGACTGTTTCAGACAACCAAAGTGGGAAATCAGAGGCTCATAGTTATGACCAAAAAAAAGAGGCTCATAGTTTTTGTAAAATTTTCCTTATTTGTCAAAAATTTTGGTTCTGCATAAATAAAAAATGTTAGTAGCGGTTGGGTTAGATATTCTTTAGCTAGCTATCCAATCTTTATTAATTAAAGCCATGAAAATGTCAACAAATTTTGATTAGCCCAACAAATAGGAAGAGTTCAACGTATAAGCTTCCATCACGACTGATGACCCAAAAGTCAGAAGAAACCAAACTAGTTGGAACAGACATTTGCAAGCAAAAATCAACCATCAGTAGCTATCAAAACTAGTAGATTTCATCCAAAGAATTAAGAAACTGTGGATAATTTTGTGAAACCAATTTTGTACGATGAGAGAAATACTAACCGGACTTACTCAAAAAAGAGTCTCTACATGTATTTGTTTGTTGATACCTCATGTTCATTGAGCAAAGGTGACAACAAATCCATGCATGCAGTGGCCCCGGGCCCCCCAATTTTTTTTATCTCTCCTCTATTATATTATATAACATATAAAATTTGTAATAAACTTAAGTTAAAGTTCCCTCTAAAACAAATTAGAAATATTTAGCTCTAAACATGTAATTGTTGAATACTTAAGTATTTTATATACTTGTATTTTCTATTTCGGCCCCCCTAACTTTATTATTCTAGCTCCAACCCCTGCATGCATGTATAAGCTCTTTTTTGAACAAGTCTCGTTAGCATTTCCCATATTTGAAATGAGTGATATCCTATCAAGTAATTTTTTTTGGCTCAATAACGGTAATATATACTATAGCTTAAAGTCATATGATGACTTGCAGGGATTAAAAAAAAGACGGAAAGAAAGAAAGAAAACATGACCCTGAATTTAATGAGAATGGTCAATAACGCGTAAGTATGCACTAGGAAAAAATAAAGGACCAGTTTGCCTCAAGTAGAGACTATACAATTTGTTGAATGTATATATAGGCTGCAGGGTTATGCTAAAAGAAGAAAATGCAGAAAGCTTAACTGGTGCATATGGTTGAGTGACCTGGAAGGAACTATAAGAAAATGGAGAAGTTACAACGAGGTTTTGGTGGTGATGGGGAAGAGGAAGGGTATGATGCGGTGGTTGTGGGGTCCGGCTACGGTGGTTCTGTTGTTGCTTGTAGGTTGTCCATGGCAGCTGCAGGCATAAGGGTTTGTCTACTTGAGAAAGGCCGCAGATGGGAATCTGAAGATTTCCCAACTGACAGCTTCAAGTTGTTGTCATCTTTGAGGATGGAGAGCCGGAACCTAGGCCTTAGCTTTGGATCCAAGGATGCACTAATCCAGGTCCGTACATGTGTTTCCTTAAATATTTCAGGTTTCCATTTTCCACAATTACTGTTTTATTCTCAATAGCATGTGTAGGTATTTCCTTAAATATTTCAGGTTTCCATTTTCCACAATTACTATTTCAGCTACCATAATAAAAACGTGCTTACGGGGCAGTCAACAAATGAAGTTGAAAATCAATAGCCTGAACAAAACATGTCGTATGTGTAGGTATACGAGCAAAATGATTCTGTAGCAGTAGTGGGTTGTGGGCTTGGTGGAGGCTCACTGGTGAACGCAGGAGTTATGATGCCAACGCCAGTTCGGGCCAGACGACATCTAAAATGGCCAAACGACTGGGAGAAGAACTGGGATCATTGTGAGGCTTCTGCTGCAGCCATGCTCAAAATACAAAGTGTTCCTGTGAAGTTTTCTGTTGGGCAGGCCTTGGAAGACATCGCCATTAAAGAAGAGGTTGGAGAAACTTCTGAGACTTCTGTAAAGCTGACTGTGAATTTTGACTTTGAAGATCAACGTCCAGGAAACACTGAAACTTCGAAACTTCAAGAGATGGGGAGCTGCTTGGCCTGTGGAAATTGTCTTTCTGGATGTCCTTATAATGCCAAAGCTTCTAACGACAAAACTTATCTACTTTCAGCAATCCAGGCATGTCTTATCTATAATCATCCCCTTATATGATATTGAATTTTTTTTGTTTGGTACTGTTAGAGACTCTTCATATTCATATTCATGACAGTTAAAGCAAATTAAGGAGATTTCTGTTATAATTGTTAATACCCATAATTGCCTAGTTGTCTATTACAGTTTGGCTATAACTCCCAGACCATTGCAGCTTGTATAAAATCCATGTAATAGTGTTTATTCAGATATGAGAAGAATCTGTTTCTACATGGTATCTAGAGCCACCATTTTCCATTAAAATTCTTCTGCTTCTCTTCCTTTAAAATTCGTTCTACAGGTACAATAAAAATATATTTAGGCCCAGAAATCAGAGAGAAACTCTCATATGTAACGAGGATATCACTTTTTGCTATTTTCGACCAATAACGCAATGACACGCAAGATAATTTTCCACGTGTCATTGTGTTATTGGCTGAGGATAGCAAAACAATGCTATACCTGTTATAAGTAAGTTTTTTTTTCTTTTCCAAAAATCAGCCTAACTAGGGTTTTTAGGCTTGACCCGGCCTTGATGGCTGCAAGCTCTAATGAAGCCGATATGTGCCTAATTTTCGAGTTAGGCCGGCTCGTCTCAGTGATGACCCTATATATGCATTAATTAATATTTAGGATGTCAAGAGAGGTTTATAGTTAACCACTAAAACCAATACAAATGTTAACTTCTTGTGAAGCAGGCTGGATGCACTGTTAAAACTCAATGCCAAGTGCAGTATGTGATTAGAAACACGTATGACGATGACGGCCAAAGTGGCAGAAGAAAGAGAAGATGGCGTGTTTATTTGAATGAGATTGATTACGTGACATCCGATTTTGTAATCCTATCGGGTAAGAAATAACAAAAGGATGAGAGATTATAGAGTAGTACAGTATTACCACGTTAGTATATGATACTTATAATCAAAATTTGTTATGTGTCATATTTAAAAGAAAATTAAAACTATTTATTCAATTGGAGTTTGACTTCCAATTTTACCTTTTGGAATAAAATTAGAAAATTAGAAAATAAAAAATAAAAAATCCTTCAACTGGGAGTACTCCTCCACCCCCCATCTCCGTTTATTCCTCCCTTTTCCTTTTTCAGCTTCCTTTGCTTTTATACAATGAAGGAAACAAACCCACATCCCAAACCTCTCCTCTTGCTAATTTTACTACCCGCAATTCTATCTCTCCAATCAACTTTGGTTGTGGATTTTGTGTTCAATGGCTTCAACTCCTCAGACATGCTGCTTCTCTACAGCAACGCCACCCTCGAATCTCGGATTCTAACACTCACAAACAGCACAAATTTCTCCATCGGCCGAGCAAGTACAAGATCCCCACCAAGGCACCCAACTCTTCATATGTGTATCGTTTCTGAACTTCTTTCATCTTCTCCCAATCCTTCAGTTTCTCCATGGAGCCGTCTCCCTCGCCTCAAAACCTCATGTTCCAATTTCTTATTACTTTGTATTCTAACCATCACACTCTGAGGATTACCATGAGGAAAAAACTCTATAGAAAAGCAAATTGAAGTAAAGACCCTAAGAAGTTCTTTTGGGATGTGAATTTAAAACTAACTATAAAATAAAGTGGTAGCTGATGAGGGAAAGGGAGAGAGAGATGGAGGGTGGACTGTATAAAAGGTGGATGGATTCAATGATACTGTCGATAAAAAAAACAAAAAGAAGAAGACAGGGTAGGGTTACCGCCAAGATTGGCTGGAGCATTATTTTATTTTATTTTATTTTTAATGTTATTTTAAAGGGTGAAATTGGAGGTCAAAGTCCAGCTGTACAAGTATTTTTAATTTTCTTTTAAATGAGACATGTGGCAAATTTTGAAAGGAAGTATCATATGCTGATGTCGTAGTAATGTACTATTCTATAATTTCTCCAAAAGTACCACGTATACCTTGTGGACATTTTGGTCTCCATGGAAGATTTTAATTATAGATGTGTTTTTTTTTAGGGGGAGTTTTTGGCACGACTGAGATTCTGTTTCAGTCACAAATGAGAGGGCTGAGAGTTTCAGAAGCTCTTGGCTCAGGGTTCAGCTGCAATGGAAATAATGTTGCTTATCTCACGGGAAGCTCGACGCCATTGAATGGTTATGGACTAGATAAGAAGGAACTCTTTAAGATTCCATTTCAAGCAAGGCCAGGACCCTCCATCTCAACATCTTATACTTCATCAATGGGTTTTACAATCCAGGTTTGGAGACTTCTTAGTTTATACTTTATTTATTGTCTTTTGGTTGCTAGTATTAATATTTTAGCCACACTACAAGAAAACAATGTTAATAGTCACTGACATCCGTCACACATGTGGAACCGTGACGGTTAGTTATTACTATTAAGTACTAATAGTGCTTTTAGTCACCTCATTTTGTGCCACATGATAGTTATTAATTATGTTTTCTCGTGTGTCGTGAAAAATCTAGATTAAATCAATATTTGGTTAATTTCCCCTTGTGATCCACATACAGAGTGCTATACTTCCAAGAGCTTATCCGCACCTTCTATTCAAAGGAATTTTAACCTATGGATGGCCTGGTGGATATTGGTTTTTTCATGGGATTTTAGACAAGATAAAACTTGCAATGGGTTTTAAAGCAACTCAAGCAGTGGCTCTTCTTGCATTGGGACATGATGAGAGTGATGGCAAGATCATGTTAGAGAAGGGCACCAACAAAATCAGCTTTATCCCACCTCGTGATCCCCTTCTCCCACGAAAAATCAAAGTCTTTCAAAAGCTCACTCAGAAACTTGGAGGAGTTCTCTTCATGTCAAAATACCGGAGCACAGCAGTCCATCTTTTAGGTGGGTGCAATGCATCATCATCAGGTCCTTCACATGGTGTTTGCAACCCCAAAGGGCAGGTTTTCGACCCTCTGGCCACGGTGCATCCAGGCCTCTACGTGTGTGATGCTTCTTTGATCCCATGTTCCATTGGCATCAACCCATCTTTTACTATTGCCACTGCAGCTGAGCACATAAGTAGGCACCTTGTGCAGGATGTTTTGGAGTACAAGATCAGGAGAGAAGGTACTAATTATCTTGGAGGTGTTCAAGATCCAGATTCCTTCACTGAGAAGACTAAGACTATAGATAATGGCCGGAGATCGGTTGTCACGTTTAAAGAAACCATGAGAGGTCATGTTGGGGGCATGCCATGCACAGCTTTTCTCAAAATGAAGATGAACCCTCATGGTGAGGACCAGAAGGACTCTGATATTGAATGGAACTTGGGTACTAATATTCATGGGAACTCTCATCCCCTTCTAAGAGGGAAAGTTGGAGGGCATGTAGAATTTAGAGGCTTTGAGAAGGATAATTTACATATCATAGACGGGGATGTAAATTTGTGTGAAGTAGATTCCAGAACTCCGTACACACACTATATGCGTTATCATCTTCATCTTGTGGCATCTACCGGTTCAAGGTATATATGAAGAGTAATATTCTCTTGTTAGACTTATGTTGCTACAATGCGAGTTTGAACCATACATTTTGACAAAAAAATTCAACCTGATCGTATATGTTAATTCTGGCATGCAGATATATTCTAGAGGGGAGAAAGATAATGAATCCTTATCTCCTTGCATCATATGCATGGAGGGAAGCTACCACACTGCATGTGACATTTGAAAAAGTTGCCGAGAAAAGCTCAAAGGATCAAGATCATGACAAGGTGATTTTAAAAGGGGAGCTTAGTATTTCCATGATGGAGCTTCTTAAGAGCCTCGTCAGCTTTGAAGGAAACAAGAAAGGAAAGTTCTTAAGCCTCCTCTTAGGGACTCTCTTCAGAACCTATTTGTTGCAGGTACCTCGAGGGAGCCAAGAGCACTTTAATCTGTCAGATTGTGAGCAGAAATATTCTTATCCAAGCAGCACTCTTCACGATATAAAAACAGGTACGTGTACGTCGCAAAAATTTGAGTTCAATTGAAATTAGAAGCCCGAAAACTCACATGTATGTATGCATGCAGAAGATGGAGTGGTTATCAGTTGCAGGCAATGGAAGTGCCAGCAAAGTTTGTCAAAACTTAGAGGATCACATGAACAACGAAACCCAATTCTCCTTGTTAATGGATATGCTGTTGAGAGTTACTGGCTGCCAACAGAGCCAAATGACTTGGTCAGAACTTTGATTGAAGAAGGGCATGAAACATGGCTGTTACAATCAAGGCTGCATGTTCTGAATCCTTCGAACACTTTTACCCTTGAAGATGTTGGAAGATTTGATATCCCTGTTGGTAATTAAAAGAGCACAGGTCAATCATATACAGTTATATTTCTTGAGCATTTAATTTCTAATTGCTTCCACTTTTCTGAATCAATAATTTGCAGCCATTAATAAGATGCTTGAATTGCTCGGACCAAACGTAAAGGTGCATGTAGTTGCACACTGTGTTGGAGGCTTAGCCATACACATAGCTCTCATGGGAGGTCATGTCTCTGCTAGCCATATAGCTTCTCTGTCTTGCACCAACTCTTCCATGTTCTTCAAGCTTAATGCTTTGTCCACTGTCAAAATGCGGCTTCCTCTGCTCCCAGTGAGCCCCTCTCTCTCTCTCTCTCAAACTCAAAGTTCAGGTGTTAGATTTGGTAATGTACTTAACGAAGGATGATTATCTAATTCTCTATAATTTATATAAATGTATGTATATGCAGATATCAATGTTGATACTTGGAAATAACAAGACACTTCCTCTTGTGGAAACATCAACATCACCACCAGTGAGCTCACGGCATAGGCTCCTGAAACTGATAGCCCACCTGATACCGCGGTACGAGAGATGCAGCTGCAGTGAATGTGAGGTTGTCTCCGGCATATTTGGGAACGCATTCTGGCACGAAAACATAAGTCCAACAGTGCACCAGTGGTTGAACAAGGAAAGCTCAACAAGGCTTCCAATGGCAGCATTTCCTCACCTCAGAAAGATATGCAACTCAGGTTTTATAGTTGACAGCAATGGCAGCAACTCCTATTTGATCCACCCACAAAGAATGGCTCTCCCAACACTCTATATATCTGGCGGGCGGCCTCTCCTTGTGACACCTCAGACTTCTTTTCTTGCTCATAAATACATGAAGCTGCACCAGCCAGGGTTTAGGCATGAGAGGGTTGTTGTGGAGGGTTTTGGGCATTCGGATTTGTTGATTGGAGAAGAGTCCTGCGAGAAGGTGTTTCCTCACATTTTGTCTCATATAAGATCGGCTAATGGTGATGAGCAGCAAGGAAGAAATGTTCATATCAATGTTGCTGAGGGGAAGAAGGTCTTCTCTGATTCAGAAGCTGATCAATATCAATATGAAGAAGGATTTGGAATAATTACCTGGTTCTCTCCTTTTGTTGTTCTTCTGCTGGCTTTTTTGTTGGTTTCTCAGTTGGCTCGATTGTTTTTATAATCCTTTTTTTTTTCTAATTGCTTCCACTTTTCTGAATCAATAATTTGCAGCCATTAATAAGATGCTTGAATTGCTCGGACCAAACGTAAAGGTGCATGTAGTTGCACACTGTGTTGGAGGCTTAGCCATACACATAGCTCTCATGGGAGGTCATGTCTCTGCTAGCCATATAGCTTCTCTGTCTTGCACCAACTCTTCCATGTTCTTCAAGCTTAATGCTTTGTCCACTGTCAAAATGCGGCTTCCTCTGCTCCCAGTGAGCCCCTCTCTCTCTCTCTCTCAAACTCAAAGTTCAGGTGTTAGATTTGGTAATGTACTTAACGAAGGATGATTATCTAATTCTCTATAATTTATATAAATGTATGTATATGCAGATATCAATGTTGATACTTGGAAATAACAAGACACTTCCTCTTGTGGAAACATCAACATCACCACCAGTGAGCTCACGGCATAGGCTCCTGAAACTGATAGCCCACCTGATACCGCGGTACGAGAGATGCAGCTGCAGTGAATGTGAGGTTGTCTCCGGCATATTTGGGAACGCATTCTGGCACGAAAACATAAGTCCAACAGTGCACCAGTGGTTGAACAAGGAAAGCTCAACAAGGCTTCCAATGGCAGCATTTCCTCACCTCAGAAAGATATGCAACTCAGGTTTTATAGTTGACAGCAATGGCAGCAACTCCTATTTGATCCACCCACAAAGAATGGCTCTCCCAACACTCTATATATCTGGCGGGCGGCCTCTCCTTGTGACACCTCAGACTTCTTTTCTTGCTCATAAATACATGAAGCTGCACCAGCCAGGGTTTAGGCATGAGAGGGTTGTTGTGGAGGGTTTTGGGCATTCGGATTTGTTGATTGGAGAAGAGTCCTGCGAGAAGGTGTTTCCTCACATTTTGTCTCATATAAGATCGGCTAATGGTGATGAGCAGCAAGGAAGAAATGTTCATATCAATGTTGCTGAGGGGAAGAAGGTCTTCTCTGATTCAGAAGCTGATCAATATCAATATGAAGAAGGATTTGGAATAATTACCTGGTTCTCTCCTTTTGTTGTTCTTCTGCTGGCTTTTTTGTTGGTTTCTCAGTTGGCTCGATTGTTTTTATAATCCTTTTTTTTTTTGGATGGAAAAGAAATCTTTATAAAAAGAACAAAAGAAAAAAAAGAGTATATATGTTGGAGATTTAATTTTAGAGTTTTTTTTTTAATACAATGAAACACTGATTCAATACTGAAGTTCTTTTGGTCAAATTTTGTCTTGAATTTTTTTATTTTTTTTTCATAAGAAGAAAGAGGCCCAAGAGGGAGTCTTGGGCCAAAAAAATGGCAATTGGGGCTTGTTGTTATGGGTTTTAATTTGGCTTAAACAATTAGACTTTGAAGTTTTTATTTAGCATTAGTGTGATAAAAAAAATATCAAAAAAGAAACTTTTGCATTTAACTTTTCTTGATGAGGGTTTTGCTCTCACATGTTCAAAAAGTAACATTGTATATAGTGCACAAGCCACCTGCTCAACTTAAAGTCATGAAACCCAAAATAATGATGAGACAATAATAAAACACAAATAGTTCAAAACCTGTTCAAGAGTCGATCAAAACCACACAAAAATGGCACATAGGGTTTGAATTATTGTAATGCACTAGGGTTTCAATTAAAATTAGTGAAAACAAATGTGGGTCCCAAAACATCATGGACCCCAGCTCATGCATGTGGGACACGTGCAGCCACAAGCATTGTGATCCCTTTTTTTTTTTTTTTTAAAGTCTCCCTTTACAATCATGAAAGTTTTGGTTTTTGGTGTGCCTTGGCATAAACCCATGTGAAACCATATAACCATCCATACCTTCTTCCCATGGGTTCTTCAGATGAGGGTAAGATTAAGATCACAATCAAAAAATAATCTCTTAAGGCACCTAAAAAACCCCTCTCTCTCTCTCTCTCTCTCTCCAATTATAGGGTGGAGGTTCTTCTTCCCAAGGAAGCTGCTGTTTTCACATGGGTTTCCCATCTGTTCTTACAGCAGAAATAGTAGCATTTGTTGAATTATAAAAAGTGCCACTATATGACATTACCACTATTTTTAAATGTACTGCTCTACATGTGTCCATGTGAAAATTGGCAGTATAATAACAAAGAATGAAAAAAAGAAAAAGGGAAAAAAATAAAAGAATTTAATCTGAGAGAAATGGCAGTAGGTGGGGGCTTAGCTCAGACCACCATTGATGCACATCACTTTCTTCCATTTCCTCCTGTTTGCTCTTCCCCTTTTTCTATTCTGTTTTCCTATATAATTCACTTGGGGCACTCCCCATTGGGTGTGTTTTATAGAATTTTTGTTTAGATGTGTAAATTTTTACTTTTACACAAGCGATATTAAAGTAGAGAGAATCGAACTTAGAACTTCGAGTGTAAGTATAAATTCTCGTAACTACTTGAGTTACAAGTGTTTCTGAAGAATGTAAAACTACCAATCTTTCAAAGGGGGGGTGCAGTGCACTAAAGTAATAGGAAGGTGCCCTGCATATTAACATTGAGGTATGGCCCATATCAATTCGTAATATTTAAACAGAGCTGAGTTTTTGGCTTTGTTTAAATGTTTGGTTCACCCTGTAACATGGCAAGATTCTCTCGTATCAATCATGAGGAATAAATGACATGTTCATTTGAGTTATTGAGTTCTAATTAACCATATAATTCGATAATGGGTATGAACTGGCCTTGCTTTTTTTATTCTTTGAGACATTAAAAAGTGGGAAAACGAAGGTTCATAAACTGTGTAAATTTTTCCTTATTTCTCAATTTTTTTTAGCAAACTAGTGAGAATTATCATTTGGGTTTGATGTTAGCAAATACACACGCTTGATATTTTTCTTTTTAATCATGCAATGATGGATCCACTTTAGGCACAATATTTTCTGAATCTTTGTCATACTTAGAATAGAAGTTACCCTATAGTACAAGCTGAAGCAGGAAAAGCTTGAGATGAAACCCAAATCATTCATGCATGTAGCTTTTGGAGTTGGTTCCACCACATCCTTTGTGTAAGGCTTAAGATAAAGTGGCTTTTAAGAAAAATCTGTCCCAAACTTCCATGTCCCAGGTATAATTGTTTTAAGACTTATTTACAACAATCCTACTTTGCCTTCTGAAACTTGTTTTAAGACTTATTTACAACAATACCCTCCAAAATTTCGGTCAAAACCTACTTTGCCTTCCGAAACTGCTGTAAATAAGCCTTGTTTTAATTATTGCTCTTGAACATAAAGATAGTATGTGTGTTTTCAACTTCCCAAATGCATAAATCAACTTATGGGAATGAAAGAAAAAATCGCATAAGTGGGTTAGGTCAGTTGACCAAGAGTAATGAGTCCGTCCCCATGCACTCAACTTCGAATCCCCTTTTCCGTAGATTAGATTAATTTAAAGTACGTATTATCGTTCGTATTTAAAAAAATGAAAGAAAAATCGTACAAGCATCACATTGGTTTTCCAATTTGAGTTCTAGGAATTAAAAAGGTATGATCTATTACTTATTGGGATCAAAACTTCCCCCAATACCAATACTGGATAAACCCTTTTACTGTTTCATCTCATTAGTTTTAATTTATAAGAAATAATTAGATAAGACAAAGAATTACGGAAAAAAATTAAACAATTTTCATTATGGGATTATGATAACTCGTCACTCAAGTTGACCAAATATGATAACAGATAAATAACAGAAAGAAGAAAGAACACTTAGACTGCATGAGAGAGAGAGAGAGAGAGAGAGGGGTATGACCACATTCTCCATCCCATGTTTGGTGTCGGAGAAACTTCCAATAAGTCCAAAGCTTTCCCCGTCATTACTTGCAGTTAACAGCTATTGCAGTGCCCAAGATCTCACGAGCCCTTCAAAAAAACTATTATTAGAAACTCATCAATCCACCAATTCAATTATTGTTTATTTATAAACCAACACATATGCATTAGCCAATCTTGTTTCCACTACACCCTCCCACCTTCTCTGTATTAGTTTTCAGAGAGTGAAAATGGTGGAAAGTCAGAGAGATTAAGCCAACTAACAAAACCCAACAAGCATTGCAAGATGCATTTGAAAACCCAGTTCTTGATTTTCTTCTTTTTGTGTTGTTTCATTGGTTGTTCTTCATTTGGTTTTGCTGCTGTGCCTAATGATGAAGTGTTTGCGTTGCTTTCAATAAAAGCTGGTCTGATTGATCCACTAAACAGCCTCAAAGATTGGAAGTTGCCAGAAAACGTGGCTAAGTATGAAGCAACTCACTGTAATTGGACTGGCGTGTGGTGCAACTCTGAGAGGCATGTTGAGAGGCTTGATCTCTCTCACATGAATCTCAGTGGCCCTGTATCAGATGACATCCAATGGCTCAAAGGTCTCACTTCTCTCAACTTGTGCTGCAGTGCGTTTTCTTCATCTTTGCCAAAATCCATGGCAAATCTCACAGCATTGAAGAGCCTTGATGTCAGTCAGAATTCACTTGTTGGTGACTTTCCATGGGGGCTTGGGAAAGCAGGTGGATTGACAACATTGAATGCTTCAAGCAACAACTTCTCTGGTTTTCTTCCTGAGGATCTTGGCAATGCCACTCTGCTTGAGACTCTGGATCTTAGAGGGAGCTTCTTCCAAGGCTCAATTCCAAAGTCCTTCAAGAACTTGCAGAAGCTCAAGTTTCTTGGGCTTTCTGGGAATAACCTCACTGGTCAAATCCCATCAGAGCTTGGCCAGCTTTCCTCCTTGGAAAGCATAATTCTTGGGTACAATGAATTTGAAGGTGGAATTCCAATGGAGTTTGGGAATCTCACCAACCTCAAGTATCTTGATTTGGCAGTTGGCAATCTTAGTGGTGAGATTCCAGCTGACTTAGGCAGGCTTAAGCTACTGGAGACTGTGTTCTTGTACAAGAACAATTTTGAAGGTAAAATCCCACCAGAAATGGTAACCATTACCTCATTGAAATTGCTGGATCTCTCTGATAACATGTTATCAGGGGAACTTCCAGCTGAGATAGATGAGCTGAAGAATTTGCAGCTTCTGAATGTAATGTGTAATAAGTTGTCAGGCTCAGTCCCTTTGGGACTTGCAAGTTTGACTCAGTTAAGTGTTCTTGAGCTATGGAACAATTCATTCTCAGGTCATTTACCAAGTGATCTTGGTAAAAATTCCCCATTGCAGTGGTTGGACATCTCATCCAACTCATTCTCTGGTGAGATTCCATCAACATTGTGCAATAAGGGCAATCTTACCAAGCTCATCCTCTTCAACAATGCCTTCACAGGTCCAATTCCGGTGAGCTTATCGACATGCCTTTCACTTGTCCGTGTTCGAATGCAGAACAATCTTCTTTCTGGGACAATCCCAATTGGTCTTGGCAAGCTTGGGAAGCTTCAGAGGTTAGAATTAGCAAATAACAATCTCACTGGTGTAATCCCAGGTGACATTTCTTCTTCTACCTCACTTTCGTTCATTGATATCTCTAGAAATCACCTCCATTCTTCTCTTCCTTCTACCATTCTTTCTGCTCCAAGTTTGCAAACCTTGATGGCCTCAAATAATGACTTAGTAGGAGAGATCCCAGACCAATTCCAGGACTGTCCTTCACTTTCAGTGCTTGATCTCTCATCAAACCATTTCTCAGGAACCATTCCGGCAAGCATTGCTTCATGTGAGAAATTGGTAAGCTTGAACCTTAGGAACAACCAATTGACTGGAGATATCCCAAAATCAATCTCCATGATGCCCACATTGTCCATTCTTGATCTATCCAACAACTCTCTTACTGGTGGAATACCAGAAAATTTTGGAATCTCTCCAGCCTTGGAAACTCTCAATGTCTCATACAACAAGCTGGAGGGTCCTGTCCCAGCAAATGGTGTGCTTAGAACAATAAACCCAAGTGATCTTGTGGGCAATGCTGGTCTCTGTGGCGGTGTACTCCCTCCGTGTATGCGAAACCCAGTATTTACATCAAGGCACAGGAGCTTGCACACAAGGAACATTGTTGCAGGATGGGTTATTGGGATTTTATCGGTTTTAGCAGCTGGAATTGCACTTTTTGGTGCTCGATCTCTGTACAAAAGGTGGTATTCGAATGGAAGTTGCTTCGAAGATAGTTTTGAAGTTGGCAAGGGAGAGTGGCCATGGAGATTGATGGCATTCCAGAGGCTTGGTTTTACAACTGCTGACATTCTGGCTTGTGTGAAAGAATCAAATGTGATTGGAATGGGAGCTACTGGGATCGTCTATAAGGCAGAGATATCAAGATCAAACACAGTTGTGGCAGTTAAAAAGTTATGGAGACCAGCAACAGATGTTGAAACCGGAAGTAGTGATGATCTAGTTGGAGAAGTGAATGTCTTGGGGAGGCTAAGGCATCGAAACATTGTTCGATTGTTAGGATTTCTGAACAATGATACCAATTTGATGATTATATATGAGTTTATGCACAATGGCAGCCTAGGAGAAACCCTGCATGGCAAGCAAGCAGGGAGGTTACTTGTAGATTGGGTTTCGAGGTACAACATAGCAGTTGGCGTCGCGCAAGGTCTCGCTTATCTTCACCATGATTGTCACCCACCAGTCATCCATAGAGATATCAAGTCCAACAACATACTACTTGATGCAAACCTTGATGCAAGGATTGCTGATTTTGGGTTGGCACGGATGATGGTTCGAAAAAATGAGACAGTTTCCATGGTGGCTGGATCGTACGGCTACATAGCCCCTGGTGAGTTTCTACCTTCTAGTTTCACATCTTAATCTTGTACTCATTTCGGTAAGTTTCTTGTCACTAACAAGTTTGTGACTTTGTGTTTACTTGATCAGAATATGGATACACATTGAAGGTTGATGAAAAGATTGATATCTACAGCTATGGTGTGGTTCTATTGGAGCTTCTCACTGGAAAGAGGCCATTAGACCCTGAGTTTGGAGAATCGGTAGACGTCGTGGAATGGATTCGGAGGAAGATTAGGGTAAACAAGAGTTTAGAAGAAGCATTGGACCCCAGTGTAGGAAATTGCTTGCATGTTCAAGAAGAGATGCTCCTAGTCCTTAGAATAGCATTGCTTTGCACTGCCAAGCTTCCCAAGGACAGGCCCTCAATGAGGGATGTCATAACCATGCTTGGAGAGGCAAAGCCTCGGAGGAAAAGCATTAGCAACAACAATGAAGCTTATGCAACTAAGAAAGACCAGCCTGTGTTTAGCACCTCACCTGTAAATGGCCTTCTCTAGGGACAGTAATTTTGAGTTTCCCTATTTGGCTGTTATTATTTTGATTTTTCATGCTGTATGTAAGATTAAGATTGCGTTTTGTTAACGTTTGTAATCAATAGTTCATATATCTCATTATTAGAATAACATCTTAAGTACAAAATAAGTCCAAGACCTCGATTTTTTCCAATCTTATTGACATTTTATTCTTACAAAACATTCTGTATCCGTTTGCCTTCCTTTCGGGTCTGGTTGTTCTGTATCAGAATTTGTGTAAAATTTCAGTTTCAACAAGCCCCGCAACAACATTGATCATTCTCATTATCAAACATTTTATCTCCATTAAACAAGGGGAATCGAAAACAGCCCATCTGCTATAACAGACAAAGGGATTTGACTGCGTCCCCATATATACAACTTCAACAACATCATTCACCAAAGTATGCAGCATATGCATATATATAGTACTATGACATCGAAAATTAAGATGACTATGGCTTTGACAAAGCAGGGAGATAACTCTCAGAGAAGGCGTACCAAGAATAAAATGAAATAACATTCGATAGCAACCAAAAATGAACCCAAAAAACCAAAAGGTTTCTCTCTTTTTTCGAAAAGCTCCAACTATAAGTTTCATCCACTTTGTACATCTTCAACCATACGTCGTCTCTTCTTGCTAAAATGGATCTATATCGGCTGGCATCTTTGCCTCACACTCTTTTCCTGTAGCCTTGGAGCTGCAAATTAAATTAACAGAGTTAGTATCGGGTAAAGCGGTAGCTTTCGGAGGCAAATTTGATGCTTCATTCACATCTACATACCAAGTCCATTAGCCTCAGATGTCCTCATAATTCTTAACCTCTTCACAGTACCAAGAAACATCCTGAATGCAAAATAAGTACAAACAAATAAGGTGTTGAGAAAACCAATAACTCAAAAAACCATATACTGTCCTCAGAGATGGGTTTTAAAATTTTAGATACCTGATTCTTTTAATACAGAATTTATAAGAATTAGATGAAACAAGCACAATTACTTAAGTCAAGTATAGTATTTCGAGTGCGCAAACACAGACCCCAAATTGATAAAAAAGCTTACCCCCAAGGAACATCTCCAACAAGCATCCAGTCTCCATCTTTGTCTTCATAAGTGAGCACAAACTCAAATGATCCATCCAGCAACTTTGACGGTCTAGTTGCTCCTGCCATTATACCATGCTCCTCCTGACCACCTGTACCTGATTATAGATAACATACAACCATCAGTCAAAGTGAAATAAAGACTCCGTCCAGCTAATATCAATAAACTTTATCTTGTCCAAATAAAAACCATACATTTTGATTGATAGATATTATGCATATGACATTTATCTTGAATCCCAACATATTCAAGAAACCAATAACTTTCAACTTTCCTATATAGAAAAAATTTGGCCAATAAAAAACTCAATTTTCATTTTTTCTTCATTTAATTGGCATTCCAAGAGAGCTTGGTAAGATGATGCCACAGTGTATAGAAGGATCATTGTGCAACTCAAATTCGAGTAGCCTGTATTTTGAAACAAAAAACTAACAAACCCTATGAACTCTTCAATTTTGAATATCAAAATATAAAGGTTAGAATTACTAACGTATTGAGTTCAGATGCATAGAGGGTCCATCGAACATATCTTCCAATGTTTGTGCTAGAGCTTCATAGCAACTCTGTGCACTTAGATTAACCTTCCGCCCAATTGGAGTTCCATCCATATTCACCTTCACGAATAGGGAGCCCCTCAGGTGCCCTTTCTCCTTAGCATTTCCACTGTTTGCCTTCCCTGCAGTATTCTTGCATTCACTTTTCTCATCTACTGAGTTAAATACTTCAGTGGATGAAGATTTCGCTTGGGTAACCAAACTATTCATTCTATAAGTTCTGATTGGAGGCCATCCCACAACCTGACTGCTTCAACCAACAAAAGATACAATCAGACAAGAAAACAAAAACGAAAAACTTCTGAAAAACAGAAGAAAATTACCATAGCTCAGTACATATGACTCAAGGACAGCAGCTAATGATCACTATGCAACCCATATTGTCTCAAACAACAATGAAAAGAAAAAGAGCTACTTTAATGCTTCTGGGTAATTACAAAATCACAAATACGATTGTGTGCACAATAATGCAGAACCATAGTGTTGTTCCGATATACACTAGTATTATAACTCCAAGATGTAAACCAATGCTTCCATCAAGGATATTTATGCACTGTGCTAAGCAAGCAGAGATTATCTGCCTCCAGACCAACTAATACTAATTATGAAGTTAAAGGATAATGGGGATTCCTTGTCAGGATGCTAAATACTAAATAGGTTCTTAAATCTAACAACATTTGCCAAAAATAGAAAGTATGTCATAAAATCAAATCAAGGTTAACATGGAACAGAACCACGTTTGGAAAGCTATAATGCTAACAATAATTTATTGTGTGCAATAAGAGAAGGAGAAAGCCTAGAGTACCTAAAACTAGAACATCAATGAATGAATGAAACTTTAAAACAAAAAGCCCAAAAAAACTTTTTTTTTTTTTCGAGTCAAGTCTTACCTGGCACCATTAGCAGCTGCCACAGAATCAGCACTTCTCTTGGTCCCAGCTGTGACATTAGCACTGCTCAATGAAGACGATGATGAGGAGGACGAAGAAGCTGATGATGAGGACAAAGATGAACGCACAGAAGGAAAATCTTTAGCAGTCAAGATCCTAGCATATTGACCCCTTGGGCCTTGTCGGGCCTTCAATAAACAACCACCACCACCTCCACCAAGGCTCAACCCAAGACAGAGCTCAAGGTCAGACTCATCTGGGCTAGAAGAGTCCTCAGAAGACATGGCCAAGTTGTCTTCTTTAGACAGCGTTGACATAGTCAAAGACCCACCAGCTGAACCTCCACCTCCACCACCACTACCCAAAACACCCTCCATTGAAATCTTTCACCTTCTGACTCAAATTCAATCACAAAGCTCAGAGGCTCAGAACCCAGAAGTTACTTATATGCTTGTGCCTTTGTATAAAAGAGCAGACAAGGGTTGGGTTCAAGAGAGGCTCGATTTGGAGAGGAATTTTCAATTACAGCAAGTGATTGAGATGGAAAAGGAACAAAAGGAAGAAGTGGGTTTTGCTTGGGGCAGTAATCCTTTGCGCAAATTTACACAAAAATCAAACGCTTTGTCGGCCGTTTCTGCAAATTTTTGTGCACAATTTGTTGAACAAAAAATGAAAGCTTTATGCTTTGTTTGGTCGGTTTTGGGAAAGAGAAAGAGGGGCAAAAGGTAGGTGTTTGCTTTGCCTTGGTTTGGTGTGGGTGGTGATAAAACGAAAGAGGATGGGGTCTACCCATACTCATTGCAGGATGGACCCGCCTCTGTCTACTGTCTGCTTTATGCGCCTCCATCAATATCCTTGCTTGCTCCTAGGCTACCTCAATTTATCGTTCTCGTCTGACGATACCAAACTTATTACTTACTCTCTGCTCTCATTTATCTTATATATATATATATATAAATGGAGAAGGTTTTTTCTTTTTCTTTTTCTTTTTCTTTTTCTTTTTCTGATACAATCGAACTCCAATTTAGGCTTAATGAGAATTTTTGAATGGAAAACACTTATAAAATATATAAAAAATACAACCAAAGCAATAAATTATTTGAACTTTGATATAAAAGAACGGACTCACTACTATAATCAACTGATCTGCGAATAGTAGTACATTCATAAAACTAGAAGGCAACCACCTTCAAGCTTCTGTAATTTTTTTTTTTCTATATAAAAGAGTTTTATAAATATAAACCATGAAACCAACTGAAAAACGGGAAACGAGATTTTCTCGTGTTTTTCAAGTAGGAAAGAAAACAGAAGATGGGACCCGCCGCAACCCATACGCTCCAAACGACAAGCCGACAACGCGGGTCCACAAAACACAGGTCTCAACACGTTGGAGTTAGGACCGCGTGGGGCCCTCGCTTGGTGAGCACGTATCTTATGACACGTGGGAACAGGGGAACATCGGATTTAATGTGGACAGCTCAACGGACGCTGGGAAGGGACAGGATTGGCCAAGCTTTCAGGTACGGGAATTTGTGAAGGGGAATGCTAGCAACCTTCTCTCTAACCTTCTCTTTTGGACCTTCTCCCTTCTTCTCATGACAATTGTCACTTTCCTTACACTTAAAACAATGTCATTAATGCATCACACAAACTAGTTTTTGTTTTCCAAATTTACCCTTATTAAATGTATTAATTTTTTTTAATAACAAGCTAATGTTTTTTACAACTTTCTTACCATTTTGTTAAAAAAATTAAATAAGAAAATAAAAACTGAAGTTTTTTTTAAAATTTTTTTTTCCAAAGAGAATGTGTGTTTTGTTATAAACAAAATAAAGATGATAACAATGTCATGAAACGAACTTTTTTTTTTTTTCAAAAAAATATGACGTTTTTCTTATGTTTTTTTTATTATTTAATTTTTAATAATGTGCTAAAGAAGTTGTAACAAAATTTGAATAAATTGAAGGAAATATAGAAGCCAATACATTTTAAAAGGGTAAACTTGGAAAACAAAAACTAACTTGTGTGATGAATTAATAACATTGTTTTTAGTGTAAGGAAAGTGACACTTGTCATGAGGAGAAGGGAGAAGGTCCAAAAGAGAAGGTTGGAGAGAAGGTTGCTAGTATTTCTCAGTTGGGAAACGTTTTTAAGTCCGTTTGCCACGTGGAGCACTCTGGCCTAGCCTGAGCTCGGCCTTTGACGGCGTCGTACTGGGGGACAACGTCTGTCAACGGTGGATCGGCTCATGTATGTAAGTGGGCCCAAGGGATGGAGAAAAATATCATATGCCCACATCATCATACAGTTCCATGATCCCCCACACTCATTCACTGTGAGACGGTGACACCTCATTTGGAAGTCCTTAATTTAAGAGGGAACAATCAAATGATGTGGAATTTTGCCAACTAAAGTTGAATAATGGTATCTTCTTTAGTTCAAGCCACATCTCCACTAATCAATTGCATTAGGTTAAGATAAGCTAAATAATGATAAGGTTTTCAGATTAATTACTTTTATTATTGTCGAAGGAACTGTGATTCATTATCACTCTAAAATAGTCATCATGCATTCTATCTGAACGGAAAACGTTAATATCGCTTCGTTGGGTTACCATAGAAGATATTTTGAAGGAATTAATTATGATTAAGACAACATATACAAGACAATTAAATTAAGCAATTAAAAATTCTATCTGAACGGAAAACGTTAATATCGCTTCGTTAGGTTACCATAGAAGATATTTTGAAGGAATTAATTATGATTAAGACAACATATACAAGACAATTAAATTAAGCAATTAAAAATGATGAAGTTTCACAATCTTGTCCATGTCCAAATGGGACAAATCAAGACACAACTTTTTTGACTTTAAGATTTGTCTTATCATGGATGGACGGACCACCCATATCCTTCGTTTGTATTTTACTTCAAGTTAATATTTAGCGTTGGACCTAAACCTTCTAGGCCCTACATTTTTCTTGGGAAATTTTAGAATGGCTTCTGAAAACTTTATTTTCATTTCACCAAATCACTTATTAAATAAAAAACAAATAAAAACATTCTAGGGAACAATGTTTGGTCAGTCCATCCCAACTCAACTTTCTCAAACCCGGCCCAAGATTAAAAACCAAAAGCTTCCTCAAGAAAAAACTGAGATGGGCTGCAATGAATAACTACAACCAAAGCTCTGTGTCTCCTTCTACTAGGCAAAATACTCTGCTCAAGTGTAATTCAGTGCGAAAAGTTTCTACTATTGTACCACTCTGTACGAAGGTTTATGTGAAAAGGAGAATTTATATGGGCAAATACTCTTGCTTACTGATGTGTTTATTACTTTATTTCTTCTCTGGATTCACTGATTCTTGAGTGCTACAACCGGTGCATGCCGTGCAAGCTGGAGCAGGGGTGTCACATATACCGATCCGCATTGTTTGCTGCTTCACTTCATTTTCAGGAACATGAACAAGGGCATCAATGATTAGGATGTCCCAATCACGAGGTATGAGATATGAAAGCCAGGTGTCATCTGCGAAAGAGAAATTGGTATCAAAACCCAAGTGATATATATGTACTATGTAGTTGAAATCCAGAATGAAACACAAAATAGTGTAGTTAGTATTCGAACATTCCGCACAAGCCAATTTGTAAAGGACCTGGCATTGACAAGGAGAATAAGTACAGAGCAACAAAGGATGCCTATCAATTATCTGGGTTTGGATGTAAAATCATGTACAGCTGTTACGGTTTTAGATGTAAAATCAAGTATTGCACATGGAAGTGCATGAAGAAGATTCAAAACACCAAAATAAGATATACAGGCGCATGAGTAAGAACATGCACACAATGTACGTCTTTAAGTTTTTTGTGCTTGTGTCTGTGGACACGCGATGATCTGTTTGTGTGTATGTAAATCAATACAAACCTCCATTACGTACAGCCTTCACCTCCAAGACTCCCCCACCTCGTGGTCCGGAAACAGGAAATGTGCAAGATACAGAATGCCTCTTATGAGCTACTGCAAGCCATGCATTGTACCATGGGCCCTTCACAATAGGTTCCCCTATAGCTTCTATGATAGCCGGGTTCTTACTGGCTTTCTCCATGGCCTTGCTGCAAAATTTTCAGGAAAGGATTAAACGTGAAGCCATAACTTAAGTATACATATAGGACAGTGAAATGGTTTAGGGTTGTTCCTCAACCTCTATATAACCCCTTCCCCCTTCCAAGAAAAATTTCTCATTCTTCCCACAAACCACTACCAATGAACCAACAGTCTATGACTAGAACTGCCTAAACTTCCAACTTCAAGTGGGGACATTGTGTCATGATTGGTGTATGTAGAGGAAACAAAGCACACATCAAACAAGAAAGATGCTGACACGTAAGACATTTATTCCAGATAAGATGAAGTCATAAACAAAATTTGCCTAGTTTTACTCGCCCTCCCTCCCTGTCTACAATATTAACTAGTAATCTCTATGGTTTCTTTAAAGCTTATGCGAAAAACTTCTCATGAACTACATTACAAGAATGCTCAAATTCTTTGCACATTACCAAGTTGACGATTGCACAGTTTGATCTAATTAGTAAAGCCAGTCATATAACTGGTCCAAACTATTCTCAAACTCAAGAAATGAAAACCACATTTTTCAATCAAATGAGCTTAGATTCTAAGCTAGAATAGCAGACACACACACAAGACAAGACTTCATAACATTTAGAAAACCAATCACAAACAAAAATACATATTGTTCATTAGAAAAACCCAATGCAACCATCTCAAGTTCCCTATTTGAGCAGGCAAACAGATCTATCATATTGTTTAAGACACAAGAGAAAAAAGTCCCAGATAATCTGAAAAATACCTGCTGCAGCTCTGATAAATAACAAGATCATTAAGAGCGCTCAAGGCTACACCTCCCGTAGTAGTAATCAGAAGAAAAGACACTGCTTTACGACCAAACGAGCTCTTTCCTTCATCCACAGTCTTTGCCGAACTGCAGCAATAAGTCACATATATATAATCTCAAAACTACAAAACTACGAAATGGGTTTAGCCCATAATAATTGTTATTCAAAGAAAAAAAAAAAGGCTGCCATTGCTGTAACAGCTGCTATTCAAATGGGAATTATAATTTGATCAGAAATCAGGGGTTTTGAACAAAAACAGTATAAATTTGAACCTGGAAAACTGTGATGCTGAGGAGCTCTTGTTGAACAACGAAATCAACCTCCTCGCCAGCATTTCTCTCTCACTCTCTCTCTCTCTCTCTCTCTCTATCTCCGTGTCTTCCCTCGTATATGCTGGTGTTCTACTAGTACTTCCGGTGCCCTTCGCTTCCAATTTTCACGCACCCACCGTGACCGACTGGACCATTTTGTCCTTCTCAAAGTAAAGAGTGCGTATCTGGAGTCGAGGTCCATTTCGTCAAAAGGCCCATGGTCCCTTTTTGCTTGGGTAAATTTCATGACCCAAATACAATTTTTTTTTAACACAACCAATATTGAGGGAGTATTCAATAAGAGGACTTCGGGCCTAAGAGTAACTGCTCTTAATCACTTTAAAAACGGATTAAAAAAAGTTCTCGCTTGCCGAATCCTTAGCTTAGCCTGCCTTGTCAAGGTAAAGGATTACTGCTAACAGAGCATTTGATGCATCAATTATATCAGTTCTATTTTTTCTTTACTCCACTTGGTTCATCAAACTGGAAGTAGGACGGGGAGTGGTGACCCCTATCAGCCTACCACCCCAACTACCCCTCCGACTGAGCCATCCCGATCGCCTCGATAACGAGGGCTGCCAGCCTCGTGACAAAATTACAAAGGAATTAATATGATAAACCAAGTTTTTGTTCTTGGTAAATTTCACTAATGCTTCTACATTTTAGTTTGTATCTCATTATAGCGTTTAACTTTAGGCATGTTTGGTTATAATTTACCCTCATACAGGATAGGGATTAGAAATTTTAGCTTTCTTTGGGACCAAAAGCAATAGCACCATTAGATGCCTTACTCAAACTATCTTTTAAATTATATATATACACACAAAAATGTCAAGTATACATAGAGGTTACAGCTTACAACAAGGCTGGCCTTCAAATCTAATGGCTCACTAATCTATATATCAATATAACATGTGCAGGGTGAAAGAAACAGTGATTCTTCAAGTGGGTTTCTGCACTAACCAAGCAAACTCAACTTCTTTCATCTCCCACCCAATTGTTCTTCTCCTTTGGTCCAGTGGGACCTTCCTCCCCGTAAAGCTCAACTGGAAACTTACTGAAAATGTTCTCCACTGAATATTTAAACATCACAGGCAAAAGATTGATAACTTTATCAAGCTCAGTTCTTGAATTGTACACAATTGTTGGACCCCATTCTCTCATAAACTTCAGCCAACATGGCTCAGTAACTACCCCGTCTCCAAGATACTCTGCTGAAACAAGTTCGTAATGGACACTCGAATCCACAGACAGATTACTACGAGCAGCATCATTCCTTATTCCAACTCCAAGCTTGTCTGACCCCTGAAGGTAAGTCCCGGGATGAGGGTAGCTCGCATGTCCACTTTTCGATGAGTGGACAATAGCTCTGTTCCCTTCTATGTACTCCAAATCATATGCATCTACCCATTTGCCACCGCTGTGCTGTGAGAAGTATATACTCCAAAGCTCTCCTGAAAAGTTGCAGATGCGGAGTGTGAAATGCTCCCAGTCACCCACGTGCTGTCCGATCTTGCTAAGAGGGATGTCCATAGGTCCAACTTTGATAGTGGCTGGTCCATTGAAGGGGCAAAACACCCACATTGCAATGTCAGAAAAAATCCCACCAAGAGCTGGTTTCACATGAACATAGAGTTTTGCACTTTCCAAGTTTCCATGTTTTATAATTTCTCTTTGATCATCATTCGGCAAGTCTATCCAAAACTGGCCATCATTTGTCCCCCCACTTGGCAAGTTTGAGCCGCTACCATCAATAGCCTCACCAACAGATGTGCCGGTTTTGTACAATAATGCTCCACTTTTGAAAAACCATGAAACAGAAGATGGCAAGTAGACCTCTTCTGGATGAAAGAAAACGGTGGGTCCATAATGATTGATAAGTGAATGAATTTGATCAAGATTTGGCATTCCAGATAGCTTAGGGTTCAGATTCTTCAAGCATCTAATGTGTAGATCCTTTACAATGCCGAAGTCGTTACTGCAGAAAAATGTACCTACAGAAACCCCTTTCCCCATCATTCCCCGATGATGTGGTCTCGTAGTCCAAACTTGAAAAGGAAGATTTAGAGATGTTGAAATGGCATTAAGAATGAGTGTGTAAGTTTCACATCTGTCAGTTAAATCAGCTCGAACACACCTCACTTCATCCAGCCCAGGTTTCGCAGGTTTGTTAGTCACTAAAAATCCCATTGCTTTGTAACCTTCAGGTGGCTGAGGTAGCCAAAAGTACCCACATGCACCATAAATTTCCTTATTTCCTTCGTCAGGACTCCATACTAATGTGTAATCAAGTGGTTTGCTGAGAGCCGGGGACTTGACGCGCTCCAAAACATTGGCTGTTTCTGGCATATCGGCCTCTCTAACCACAAGAACAAAACCGTGTAAAGGCTTATCATTAGATTGGCAATAGTGGCCAATGCTATGGAATCCATCAGGTATTCCCGCTGGTTTATAAAATGTAACACATTTTTTCTTGTCCTCTGGCAGAGAGCAGGTCCAGATGAACTCAAATCTGTTGATTTTGAAAACCTCTATTTCTCCAAGACTTACTTTTCCAGAAGCAAAACCTTCACCTGTGAAGGAAAATACATGCTAAAATCACTTAGAAAAGTAGTCCAATATGTCATTCAAATAAACAACTGGAATCACAAGACTCAATTTTAAACTCTAGGTTCAGGAATTCTGTTGAACACTTTTCATCATTCTCTACTATGAATGCCCAAACACTCAGTTTTCTCATTGACTTTATTAAGTTTTTACTTTTTTGCGTAAAGTTAATACTCAGGCATTCTTGAAGATATTGTTTCTGTATTTGCACAACCTCCAAAATTTTGCATGTTAATCAAAATTCAGCTGCAACATAGGTGAATATGAAACTACAAAAAGATTGAAAGAATTTCAGAACCTCTTCATAATTAATCCCAATAACGAAGATAGCTAAATAATATGGAAGAATGGCTTTCAAAATAGGGAAAAATATTGAAAAGGGCGGAAAGGAGATGGTAAGCAGTATACAGACATCAACCCATCATAACTTGGAGAGTATATATGGAAACTGAACCCCAAAAGAAACAAGCTATATACAACATGCTAATTCCAACAAATAAATAAATAAAAAAGAGATACACCATAATCTAGAGATCCCACAATAAACAACAGCAAGCACACTAAACACTCAAAAGAAGAAAAAAACATCAACACATAAAATGAAGTTCAAAATATTTTGAGGCCCAAAACTGACAAGCATATCTCTATCTCATATTCTATTATTCAAGTAAAGCAAGAACAGCTACGTGGCCCCAATTGTTGGAGCTTTTAAGTAAGCAATTATGTATGCAGAAAAATAAACATCAGAGCTAAAGGAATATTTCAAAGTTCCTACCCTTCTACACGCCTCAGCAAACTGAACCTAGCTATGAAGGGCATAAAAGACCATTTATAAGGGGAAAGAAGCTTTAAGAGGGACACAAAGGAAAAAAGTAATGTATTCTAGTAATATGACTAAGATTTGTATGAGAAACTATTAAGAGAAATAACCAAACAACCAATATGAAGTTAAACCATCCCAACCAAAAGGTGCATTCTTTTGATGTCATGCATCATATGTGGTACAATACAACTTATCCCCAGTCTAAAGCACACGATCAATGGAGAGGCTCTTTGCACACAAAATTATGCACTACCAATGAAAAACTGAGTCATCAAGCAACACAGTAGACTAAACGCACTTATGACTGAACCATGATATTGTGAATTTTGACATGTTATATGAGCATGGCCAACCATAGAGTACTGCCGAGAGGACAAACTTACCAGAAGATACAAAATAACATATACAAACAGAAAATATTGGGGTTGCATAGATCGTAATTTTCATATTAGCAGCCAAGCTCAAATTCAAACGGCCATTGGAGCTTCATGATTCCCAGAATATGCTAAATTCTGATAAGTCCGGGTACTTTGTATGAGGAAATCAAACTAACCATATAAAGCAAGCACTGATTGGTTTGTGCAAAACAAGTAACTTTTTTTTTCTGTACAAATGGAAAAAGAAAATAGTTTTGTTTTCAACGTAGTTACAATTTATCTAAAAAGAGAACGGCTATAATTCATGATCCATTCAACAAACAGAAACATCCATTAACCAAAAAAAGCAAACTATCACAACCGCAATTGATTGTCTTCAGCACAATCCGCAAACCATACTGCCCAAAATCCATGAACAATCCAAATAGTAATAGAAACCCACATTTTAAATTACCAAACAAAACGAACAATCCAACAAAGATCAAAGCTTTGCACTAAAACTTTCATACCTGGAGGCCACTGAGGAACGGGATCAGGCAGAGAGAAGGGTTCAGGCTCTGGTGGGAATAAGTTGGTGAGTTTCTTCCAATAGAAGCACTTGCACCCGAACATCGTTTCCCCGAAACCGAAACTCTCTCTGCCTCTTTCTCGCTCTCACATAAACAGGACGAGGGTCTGCCTCTGTACCTCTGATTCTATAATCGCAAACGTAACACACGGTTCTGAAATTGATTTATGGATTTACACCACCTTTAAGTAGAGATATTTCAAAATTCTGTGTCATTCTTTTGGGGCCCTCTCCCACAGTGCACAACTTTATAGCTCGACAATGAAAGATGATGATTTGATTTGAATGCAAAGCCGACACGATTTTTAATTAAAAATTTGTGTTCATGATTTCATTTTCTCCTTTTTTTTTTTTAAATGTTAAAAAAAAAATTACTAAGAGAATCTCGACGAATTCTTAAATTATATAAATCAAATTTTAATCAAAACATGAAAACTAGAAAATTTGGAAATTCAAAGAATGAAGCTTTTCTCAAGAAGAGTTCACCTTTATTTATGGGAAAGTTGCTTGTGATAAAGTGAAAGCAACCAATGAGGATGATAGGTCACTTTGGTCGTATTTGAAAAGAAAAACAAGTGGGATTAACCGTGATAATCTGAATATTCTTTAGTAGTAAACAGTAAATTGAAATTTGAGAGGGAAACAAGCATTCATTTTTATTTTTATTTTATTTTTTTGGTCAAAGAGATGCTTCATTGAAATAAAGAGAAATCAACGTAAAGTCTCCAAGAAGGAGGGAACTCCACTCAACAAATAACAATAAGGCAAAGAGAAACAAGCATTCATATGTAGTGTTTTTTCAACACTTCCAACAGGTCATGTCATCATATTACGATCCCTCTCAAAATTTACGATGCTGGGCTAATTTGGCATTGTCGTGCTGTGAAAATAATCGCTGACAAATTTACTGTGAGAGAAAGCAATTTGAGGTTTGGTAAACTTTTTGTTAAAAGTGTTGTTCGTATTGATTCCCACATAATCAGAAAATAATTGCCGCATAATTATTAAACCCAACGCCTCTTCGAAATTGATTCCTGCATAATTAGAAAATGAAAGCACATTATTAGCTGTTTTCCCTTATAGTTTTTTCTCACAATAATTTTTAACAATAAGTGATTTTCTCATAATTTATCAAACGAGTTTAACTTTCCAAAATTTTAAAAAAATCACTTATCATCTCAAATAAGTAATGCCAAACTAGCACGAAATGTAAAAGATGAAAAGGTCAATGCTTTCTTGTCGAGAATGAGGATTTGAACATCGAACCTCGTTGCACAAATAACTACTACTACTAGCGCAATTCCTTTGATGCTACAATGCCTCAAATGAACTTGTGAAGCTTGTGTTGCATATGTAGGACACGACACAACAAATGACGTCGTGTCGGTCTAATCATAATTTTCAGTCTTTTTTTTTTGGTGGTCAACTGGAGAATTCATAATTCTCAGTTTCTGCTACGTGTACGGCTGTAAAGTAGTTGTATTTCATTAATTCAACACGGCCGGTCGTTTGGTCTCCCAAATTTTATTTTCTGCATCTTTTTCATGGCAGACAACATGCCAATGGCAATACCATGTCATTTCCTTCAAATTTTGTCTGATTTTGACATGGCAGACAAAAGAAAATTATTATTTTTATATTTTAACCACCTTTTAAAGAAGCAAATTATTTGCTCCACACAATGAAGAGACTACTTTCCTCATCAAATAACCACAATTATTATAAGGTGTATCCATTTTGACCCGTCTAGTACTTTAACTCTTTGTAACACTTTCAAGGAAAAAGAAAAGAAGAATTATAAAGATGTATTTATTTTCTTATGGTGTAGAAACAAAGTGTGCAGAAAGTATTAGTTAATTCTATAAAATGTCATAAATATGAACTTAGCCAAATTGATTAGAGCGGATTGCCACGAGATCAAATCTCCCTCTCAGTAATTTAGAATAGAATATCGCTTGCATTAATAAAAAATTTCTACAAAATGTCACAATGCATGTCAACGACGATCGTACAGTTGTACACAGATATTACTGGTTGTTGGGTCCAAGTGTCAAAATCTTGTGACTTTTCAGAAGGGTTGAGTAGAAGCATCCAACGGAGCATATGATGCAGGACAGAGCTTTCAGCTTCACGAGGTTCCAGTGAGCTTTCCCATTTTCCAACTAACTAAAAAAGACAAGTTGATATTTTGAACCAAGTTAAATCTGAGCATTCTCAGCCATTCAAATAATATTATAATTTCCATTTGCAAGAAAAGGGAAAATCACAACTCAATATGAAACACATGTCTAGCCGCCCCTTCATATATCAGCAGCACTGTAGCAGAAGACTCAATAATTAATTCTTCTTTGTCATTTACAGCATTGGTTGGAACCCCAGAAAGTTGGTATGCTTCTTTCTTCTCCTCCTTCCTCCTTGCAATTTCATTTTCTCAAGCTTTGAAGCTTTTCTTCATGGGAGTGTTTTGTTTTGTTTTTTTTTTCTGAAGAGAAATGTGTTGCCTTTATAAACATAGCACTTTCTTTCTTGTGTCTGCAACTGCATAATTGAAGAAAAAAGGGTTAATTTATTTGCCTTTTCATTTCAAGTCTATTTATTTAGAGTCTTCTGTCTTTTTTTCTTTCTTTTTATTTGTAGGTAGTTTTACTTAATAATATATATTAATCCCACAGCAAAGACTAGTTGCTAAAAGGGTTGGTTGTCATGTAAATATATTTATTATGTTGAGCTCATAATGCAACTCCACTAATTCATATATATTATGTTGTCATTTTGCAGAGAATTTTCATCTACAGAGCAGAACAGAGAAAATCAGCAGAAAAAGCTTTCTTTCAAAGGATATCAATCATGTTGCTGAGGAGCTCATCAACACCAGTTATTGGATCTCTTCTTTCATCATTCTCAGCAGACAGTCCCAATATCATTAGCAACCATCACTCTGAGCCCACCAAACCAACCACCATCCACCATACTCCCTCCAAATTCTCATTCCACCAAACTGGGGCTCTCAACATCTCACACAATTCCTCACCAATCTCTCCCTCCGTTGATTCTGACCGGTTTTTGTCCCACGGGTTTCCGTCCCACGGGTTTCGAAGGGTTCAGTCTGATGGGAACCTGGAAGGACTACTGGTCAATGCTTCTTCTGACCAAAATGAAGATCGTGTCTGTGACTTAAAACCACCCAAGTTTTTCTCTGGAAGATCCAAGTGCACGATGCTGCAAACTATCCCATCTTTTTCATTTCATAACTCAGGAGGTTATGATGATGATGAAGAAGATAGTGATATAGAATATGAGGATGAGGAAGAAGAGTTTGAGGAGAATGTGGATAGAGTTGTGGCTATGGAAGGTGAAAATGTTGGTTTGGAGGAGAAGGTGAAGAACATGAGCTTAACTCAGGATGTGAAATTTTTGGACAAAATATGGAGTGCAGGTTTTGAAGATAAAAGAGAGCTTGTGAGTCAAGAAATGCATCTTGCATTGGGGCTTGGAATTGGTGGAGGCGGCGGCGGTAGCCGCGGTAGAGGAGAGGTTAATTGGGAAGGATCTGGTGATGATGGAGGAGACAACCATGGGGCTGAGGGGCATTACAAGAAGCTAGTTGAGGAAAATCCAGGCAACCCTTTGTTTCTTGGAAATTATGCTCAATTTTTGTATCAGGTGAGCCTCTTCTGCTTAAATAAATTTGTGTTCTTGACTTGTTCTTTTTTTTATCTGTCTTTGTGAGTGTGCTCAAATCACATGTTTGTTTTCAGACCAAAAGAGACCTTCATGGAGCAGAGGAATATTACTCTCGAGCCATCCTAGCAGACCCTAAAGATGGTGAAGTTTTGGCTCAATATGCTAATTTAGTGTGGGAGCTGCACCATGACCAAGACAGAGCCCTGAGCTACTATGAACGAGCAGTTCAAGCTGCACCTCAAGACAGGTACACAAATTTTTGTGTACATCAAACATGTTTTGAGATTTTGAAGGCCCTAATACATAATTTTTGACTTCGTGAATTTCAGCCATGTCCATGCGGCATATGCTAATTTCCTCTGGGAAACAGAGGAAGACGAAGATGAAGATGAAGCTGATTCAGCAGGGTACGATCTTCATGCCATGCCGTCATATCGCCACGAAGGAATTATGACTTCTGCAAGTGCCTAAGAAAATTGTGGTCGTGAACTTAAAGCGAGGAATTTTCAATACATGATCTTTGTAGGAAACCATGATTCAGAACTTCATGATGAATGTTCATGGCCTATGCATAAAACAATTTTTTTCTGAGATAAATGGTCTCTAAAATTTTCTTCCTCTCAACTTTTTCCCTTTCTCTGGTGATGAAGGCTAAAGCAATAATAAGAATAAAACTTAAACGTAAAAAACGTATGAGAATCATGAAAAACTGAAAGGCTTCATATAGAAAACTTGAAACAAACATCTTATCACATTTCCTCACAACTTGGGGCTTGAAAGGCCCAAAATTCCCCGCTTGAATTGCATGATAAAAACCATCCAAGGGGAGAGAACTTGTAAGCATAAACGTCGACTTAAGTCCAAATAAACTTTCATGTAAGTGACACTGAAAAGTACAAATACAATTTCATGAAACCATCTAGAGGAAAATAGTAGACAGGGAATCTTCTGCATCTCAAAAAGCCTTCAGACTCGGATAATGTTTCCCTTGATCTTCTGCCTGTGTGCTTCTAAAATCCTTCCTCTCTTATCGTGTACCACGCTGTTGGAAACCATTGCCTCTTGCTCTGCTGTAATCTCCACCATCCTGGTAACTACCCCTGCCTGAACTCCGGCCACCAAAACGCCCCCTTGTGGCTTCAGGTTGGTAACTGCCTCTGCCTCTCCCCCTTCCTCCTGCAAGCAAGGAGACCAGAAGTTGAGCAAATTAACATTTTACCTCCACTATAAAACAGTAATATATTTCGCTACCCGAAACAAGCAATGAAAGCTGAAAACTATTGCTTAATAATTCGGTACATCACATTCTAAGTGCTGGTTATGCCAATTAACTTCACTAAGCATCATTCCTATAAATGTACTAAAACATTTTCTGAACTGAACTCATGAAAGACAATGATTTGGTTCCATGGAAAACCTTGAAACTAGTGAAAGCAATTAATACATCTTGGAAGTACTGCAGTAAGTAGATTATATGCAATCCTATTAATGCGTTTCTGAATGACATCTCAGAACAAAAAGAAGGAACATTGCAAAGCAAAATCGATTGTGAGACTGAAATTGAGAAAAGGCATGTCTCTACCACCAAAATATTCTAAGATTTGTGAAGGCAGCGCCACTTCCATGTAGCAGCTGCCAACACCATCACATTCGTATCCACAAAATCACCTCAATAAGGACAAAACATAACCATAAGGGCCATCTCCAAGACTCCACACCACATCCCCATAAATCTACTTGCACTTATGTATTTCCAACACACACACACACAGATTATAAAGATTATATCCTATAGGCATCATCTGAAAACACTTTGCTACATCAAAGATGTTAATGAAAAAATAATGAAATTAGGCACATACTTCCTCGAGCAGCTCCAGTGCTGTTTGGTCTCCGCTCCTCAATGTAGACTTGCCTTCCAGCCAACTGAATCGGAGATGCCTACAGGGAAAAACACACATTCATGCCATGCAAAAGATATAGAGACTACAGAGCACAGTATAAGAGTAATGTTAACAAGAAGCTTGATAAAGTTTAATAAAATGCGCCAAACATTAATATACAGCATCAATGGACCAGCAATCCATCACATATACCACAAAGCCTTTACAATCAAAACTAAACAGTAAAATAACACCAAGGCCCACATGCAATACAAATTCCTAATAAAGGCAACTGACAAAAAATACAACAGCCACCCAATCCACATTAATTATAAAAGAATGGAGGATCCCTAAATTTTCTAGACACCAAAGTCCACAACGACTGCCCAGTAACTGACTATGTCCCACAAGAAATCCATTGCATTAAAAGATTCTACCATTTCTCTTCAACCAATCAACCCAAAAATTGCACTAAACCCCAGACATATGCAAGTATAAAATTACAAACAACAAGCACAATCTAATATATAAGCAATTATATACAAAGGCAGATATATCCCCAACGTCGACAAGAGTGCAAGATATGGAAAGTTTAAACCCACTAAATAAATGAATAGCCAAAGACAAATTCAAGATGACCCAAGGATCCCGAATGGATCCAATAAACATATATGAAAACTGAGAGCACTTCCATCAAATAACAAGAAACTTGCCTTAATCCATGAATATTGAAAAGCGAAAGCAAATAATACATCAATTTAATAATATAAAAATTCAAACCTTGAGTGCATTGTGAACGCCAAGAAGGTCTTCAAATTCAACAAAAGCATAGCAGACTCCAATTTCCTGCATCCACCAATTTCTACTTTAGCTCCTATCAAGTTCATATATAGCGGCACTAAGTAGAGAGACAAACTCACCTTGCGAGCCCTAACAAAGACCCCATCAGGTTTAATTTGACCAAAGTTCTTAAACTCCTGCTCGATCTCATCTTCAGTAACCGTAGGAGGCAAGTTTCTTACATAGACAGATTTCAGTTCACCTGGAACAATTATTTAACATGAGGTTCAACTTACAAATGCTTATACTAAGTTAAATTCAATGGTCCAACCTTCACCTTCACCAAGTCTCAAGCATACAGCAGTAAATCCCCAATTCATAAAACTACAACACGTCATACGTAAGAAACTAAACTTCCATTCCTAAATTAGTCATGCATGCTCTTATTTCAAAAACCATATCAGGAATCTTTGCCATACAACTCATAATAGAAATTAATGACATGGACGGTCTTTTGCATCGGTTAAATTCTGATAAAAAGCAAATAATCTCTCAGATATTCCCCCAGAATCAATATATAGAAGAATGCATTATAACCAGAAGTAACAAGCAGCAAGGTAAAAAAAAGTAACAATGGATAATTTAGTTTCTGATGTCATTAAGGATTATAACATGGCTAAAAACAAACCACCTTCTTCCTCTAGCGCGTAACCTTCCTCTGCTGCTTCTGCCCCAGACTCAGGCACAAAAGATAGAGTAGAGTTGGATTGTTCAACAGTGGGCTGAGGCGTGTAATTCCATTCTGAAGCAGCTTGAGCACTTCTGGAATAAGGTTGTGGAGTTATTGCTGGTGCAGATGGCCCTTTAGCAACTCGCAACTATCATTTTCCAGTCATACACAACAAAACAGTAAAACATAAGTTATTAAAGCACGCCCAACAAAATATGAGAAAATAGATAACTGAATATAAGATTGATGCACAACAGCAATATATTCAAAGCCAATGCCTACCAAAACACAAAAAATACACACACAAAAGCACAAACGGGGAAATAAACACATTCTCACACCGAAGTAGCAGAAGTCATGGGTTTAGGTACATACTATAGAAGCATAAGTTTTCTTTTCAGGCTCTCCCACCGGTTCCTCCACAGAAACAGCAGGTGTTTCTTGACTAGTGTTCACCACATTTTGAAATGAAGCATATGTTTCCTCTGCAGGAGTTTCCTCCACCACAACTTCAGTCTCATAATCTTGCTGCACCTGTTGCTCTGGGAGACTATACTTGTCAACTGGATCATCTTCTATATCAACAGAGTTCATGTACTCCCTTGCCTCTTCCTCGAAAACATAGTCAGAAACTGCAAAACACCGAGTTATATCCAATACATACACACCAAAATATCTCACACAAACTAATCCTTGAGATCTTTGCAATGATGTATAGAGAGAACACTTCTCTAATTCGTAAGGATGATACAAGCATGCATACCTTCCACAATAAACAGCCAGAAAAAGGAATATTCAAGCAGCACAAGCACACAGTTGCATAAAAGAGCTTACCCAAGTCTAATAGTAATATTATCTTGACTTACCACGGGTAAATAGAAAATGTAAAAAAAAATAGAATCATAATCAAAATCATTACATGCTCAAAAGCATAGTACTCTGATATTTATAAAGAAAATGTCCACACATGGGAACCCCATGCCAAAAGTAGCTCAATAAGTAAAAATAAATTCCAATATAGCAACTAATAGATGAAATCAGTATAGTGTCACAACACCTGGTGGCTCTGGAAGAGGGCTAGAGGCACTCAGTTGCACATCATATCTGCCTTCTGACTGTATGGGTGCAGGATGTTGAAAAACAACTCCATCTTCAACGTACTGAAAGATATCGTTGAGAACAAAGTAACCTTTGTCCTGAGGAGCCAGAAAGAAGGTCTGGACAAATTTCCTCTTTACACTGGAGTCCCTTGTTTTAACAGAACCAGAAACCATCACAAGAATACCTCCATTCCAAGAATCGATAGAATTGATTGTCTTGACCTCAATTGAAGTAAAATGTAGTGACAGTATGTGTGTATGAATTTGCTGCAGAAGAAAAAGATATCTAATGAGCCAATGACTTAACAAGGGCGCAAAAAACAGCACAAGGGTCTCAAACAAATCAACTTAGGAAGACAAATGACAGAGATGCTTGTCTGTATGGAGAAGGTTATGCATGAACACTAAAAAAAATTGAGAGAAAAGACATACAAGGAACAATAACAAACATAGAAATCACAAGTAAGGTAAAGCCAAAAAAAAAGGCTAAATCAAAGACATTCATCTTGAGCTCGTAATTATATCACAGACACAACATATTAAATTCCTAAGGTGATAACAATTCCAACAACTCAATCCATATAAAGTGACCTTTCTTGGTCTTGGTTGGTGAATGGGATGGAGCTTTATACTCGAACTAAAAGCACAATGCAAACAAATAAGTACTTTAACAATAAAAAGATCGATTCGCATGTCGATTTTACTGATCAAACTGTATAAAAAGAACTGAACCAAGAAACTCAATTTCGGGCCAAAGAATACAAACGGCAACAATTACCACTATACTGGAAGCAGAATCTGTGGAATCACCATCAACATGGATAATGGAACTTCCTTCTGAGTAGAACTGATGAACAACATCTGGTTGCTTTTGAAGAACCTGATAGTACTGCCCCACAAAGTACGACCCCACCTGCAAGAACCCCAAATCACACATTACACACATACGCAACCCTAAATCTATACATACAAATATAAATATACACTTGAAGGTTGCAGGAATTGAATCTTGACCTGAACAGCACTAACAGCTCCAGGATAAGAACTTGCCATTGCCTCCTCTCTCAACACAAACGCATGCAGCGACGGTGAAATACTTCTGTGTTATACTCTACGAAACCCTAACTCACAGTCGTCTACACTCTGATCGATCGGTCACAGATCCACACACAGGCCAACTATATATCCCAAACCCTAAACCCAAGGTTTTACGGCACCTTGGGATTCGTCGTTCGAAGTACCAGAAGCTCAAAACGGCATGAAATCTTCAGAACAAAGGAAATGATACAGAGCTTAGCTTCGAGAGCGCGAGAGAGACAGAGAGAGTGGGCTTTGTATACTCCAAAGGGTTCTGCCTCTGCTTCTTTCTGCTTTTGCTTGCTTCCGGCTTTGGCTTATGAGATACTGATTCGCTAATTTTAAAGGGTTTTGCTGCAGAAGAGCACAGCCGTTGGATTACTTCGAATCGCAACCGCTCATCAAAACCCAGGAAAGCTTGCGTAAAGATACAAAATAACCAAGGGAAAGGTATCCAACCAATCTATCAAGTAATCTCAGCGTTTCATTTTATTAAATGGACGGCTGATATTCGAATGAAAACACGTAGCACAAGTTTTTATTTATAATTCAGATTTTATAACGCATATTTCATTTCAACTGTTCAATAACTGTCTATAATCAAATAATCAAGTTTTTATTGTGTCGCGAGAAAGTAGTTGTGGATGAGTATATGGAGAAAAACTTTCATGTCCTTATTTCATTGTTGTTTTTCTCCGTCTCTCTCCTTACGTCACTTATCAAAAAAGGGAAGAGATATGGACAATGAAACAGAAATATAAAAGTATTTCTCGAGTAGAGATGATCCACTTGATCTTTTGGTCGGATTTGCTAACGTGGGGCAAAGGGCATGGTAGCCTAATTTCATGCCTCTGAGTCTGAGAAGAGTATGAGTGGAAATCTCGTAGGAAGGAGAGGTACGGTGTAGGTTGACAATTAGGGTTCAAGTCATGTGTTTGAATTGGCTATTGCCAAACATGGAACATGGATGGAATGTTAATGGAGGAACTGATTTCCAAAGGGTCACTGTCAATCACACCATAACGTGAGGAGTTGGGCAAGTCTGATTTTCCACCACCTAAATAAGGCAAAGAGATTACCGGCCCACAAAAAGCTAAAAGAAGAAGGTAAACAGAAATTTGCTTTCAACAAGGAAAGGCTGCTGGTTTTCAAGATTCCTTTCCTAGTTTTTTTCTAATTTATTGAAATGAAATGACACCTTACATGTTAGAACCATTTTGTTTTGTCTTGTTTGAAGTTGGAGGAACGATGGATCTGAAAATTTGTAGGATTTCAGTAAGCAACAAATAAATAGCATTGTTGAAGATCGAGAAATTTCTACGCGAAAAAATGTTAGAAAATAATTATCTAAAATACATTTGCCATACACGACTAGAACTGATCACTAACTCCCGTCTCTTCAAAAATCTTTGTTAGCTACAAACCAATGTTCCCCAAAACAACCTTAAGTATCAATCGGGTTCTGTGAGAAAAGGAGAAAATTAGATTACATGGGCAAAATATCGCAGGCTAGTCCTGCCACCTCAGTAGTAAGTCCCATAATACGCCTGAGGCACTGAAGCAGGTTGCGGAGCCGGTGCTGTAGCTGCCGCTGCTGCTGCCACGGTTGGCTGTGCGTAACTTTGTGGAGGGAAGGCCTGCTGAAATTGCAACTAAACTATCAGCTCAGAAAACAAATGGGAGGGGCAAAGTAGAAAAGAAAGCAAAAGAAAACGAGAAGAACGAAAAACAAATGAAAAGATATCAATAATGTGTTGTATACCTGAGCAGGATATGTAGAGGGATAAGCACCATAAGCAGCAGTCTGTGGCGTCGTTGCAGGCATTTGTGGATTGGCATAGCCACTTCCATAACCACCATATGCATTGTATGGCTATTAAGAGAAAATTTGAATAAACTGATCAGATAAATAATTTTGTTTAATAGAAATGTGGACCAAATCCAATTTTGAAGCCAAATTTCTATCTGGAGACATCTCTCCCTACTAAATGCATCACGTCAGAAAACTACCTGTTGGGTATAACCAGGGGTCCACTGTTGTCCCTGTGTAGCTTGCGTAGCTGGTGGCCAAGCTTGCGGCTGTACACCATAACCAGCTGGCCACTGGCTTTGTGCACTTGGATATGCTCCCATGATAGACTGGGCAGGCGAAGGAACGCCAGAGTAAGACTTTGCCATCTTTACTTTGTCGGAAGATAAAAAGTCCTCAGCTTGACGTTTTTTCTCTGACATGCTGCTCCTATGAGGTAAGAAGAGCTTGGCATGGCGATCCTCGGCCTTCTTTATAGACTGCGCATCTCCAAAGAGATTAATAAACTGCAAAATCATTTCCAAGCACATCAGAATTTGAGGCCAAAATCCAAGAGAAACAGAAAATTTGTGTTCAAAGGCACAAAGGACAAATGGAAATTAAGATATTAAAGAAACAACTAAGATATTTCATCACTGGCTGAACATCGCACGCACTCAGATGGTTATAAAGCAGCACAAGACTTCCAAATAAAACTCACAAAAGCAGACCAAACCTCAAACCTTTCCACTTCCAGAGGAAGTCTACTACTCCTCCAGAACAAAAACATCAGAGACTCCTCCAGTTAACAAAAAACAGGGTCAATATTAACCTCCCGAGCTTGACCAACATAGAAACTCTTAGGCACTTTACATATTCCCTTGAGTTTCAAGAGTGTAATGTGTGAATATGAGAGAGAGGATCCGGTCAAAAATCATGTAACTCAACTCAAGGAGTACGGTTTTATATATAAACACCTCTTTGAATATTCATCTTCAAGAAAACATAAAATATATATACCTCCAAATAGATACTAGATAGCTCTTCTCTGTCGGTAACACTCGCGAAATTGGGGTTTTCTGAGCTGGGCTCTATGAACTTCACAACCAACGAATCTAAGTAATCAATTTTCTTTGGCAGTGGCTGAATTGATTCAAAATGTATCAGAGCCTGCATGTAGAATTAATGAAAAACGTGAAATTAGTTTAATTTCTAAGAGAGAAAATGGGAATACATACATATAATGCAGAGAGAGAGAGAGAGAGAACCTCAAGTAGTGGTTTTGACAACTGTACATGCTCAAGCGCTTCAACTACAATTTCTCTAGCTTTTTCAGCATTCAAAGATACCTAGGAACAAATGAAAAGAAAAAGCAACGAGATACGAAAACATTTAGTGCACAGATGCATATCCTAAAATGGCACAAAAAATTCAAGGATGCATATCATAAAAGTTCATCTAGTTCACTTGAATTAAGTTAAGTAATTTTGGCAGTAATCCATAAAAAAGACAGACATTAACTAACAACTTACCAGGTATGTGAACCGAGAGTACTGAGCAAACAACATGGGTAATGTCTGTGAATGCTCTTTTCCTTTTTCAATGGCAATGGCCTGTTCATATAAAGAGTAGGCAGCCTCCACATTTCCCTGTGAAAAATAAAGAAACAATCAGGTTCAAACATGCAACATGTGTAAGGAAACTGGTAAGGTTCAACTTGTTTATATCATCTCACCAAGCGGTGTTCCATGTTTGCATGCTTTGCGATTGCTTCAAGAAGCCCAGGTGAAATTTCAGAATGTACAAGTTGATAGGCAGCCTGAGCACCAGGTATATCCCCACTCTGCTCTTTGAACCGACCAGCAAAAAGGTGAATCTCTGGTTTTCTCTGCCATTTCAAGACAAACAAGTCATACATTAAACATTCCCAGAGAAAAAGAAATATTCCTCAATCAAGTGATAACATAAAGGAGGCAAGCTCCAAAATGTAATATAGCAATATCAACTCCATACATTACTCTACTTAAATCAGCATATGGTAATACACCCTCAAATTCAATATAAGACAAGTGCAACCCATGTGCAAGGCTGATAATCTGAAACAAAAAGGTCCCTGTTATCTATCTGTATATAATATAATGGGGGGGGGGGGTGTAAACAGATTCCCCGTTCCTCATCCAGGAAAGGTAAGGGTTACAAACTTAACAGAGGGGGAAAAGCAGGAAAAGAAGGGCATGGAAAAATGTTTATCATATACTGTAACAATCAAACTCCTTTTGAGAGTTCAATATTGAATAATCTACAACAGTTTCAACACTTGAAATATAAGTTCACACTCATGTTTGTAACTGTGACAGGTCAATATAAACTCCGTTCTAGACAAAGAAACTTGGGGAATTCATGCACAACAGTGGACTTCATAACCATCTCAAAGACAACTTCCAAACTTCAACTCTCGACACAATCTATCCCATTAACTAGATTTTTTTTTTTTTTCCACTAACCAAACTACTTACAAGTATTCAAGATAGATGAGAAAAAAGCAAGGCATGGTTTTTATTATCATTACTTTCAAAATAAACAGTTATAGAAGCTCATTCATCTCTTAGCTCTAGATGTCAAAGTTGATAGCATACATGAAAATAAATTACAAGGACCAACCTTCACAAAGACCTGGGTTGCACGAGCAAGAGCATTATTGGCAATATCCAAACTTCCAACGGCTTCCATACAAAGAACATATCGAATCCAGTATTCAGGATAATTTGCGCAAGCAATTAGGCATCTTTCATATAACTTGACCACCTGATTCACAAAAACAGAAAGCTAATTACAAAAAGGTGCATTCATACACCACAATAGTAACCAATGGATAAACAAAACACAAAAGAGATATGCACAAGAAATACTCCATTAGTAGAACAGAGAGGCCCCTCAAATAGGAAAGGAGGGACCCTCCTTGCCTGACAGACAGATGGTTAGGAAGATAAGAAGATACCTGCATGCATAACATTGGAACTTTAAAAATAATAAAATTTACTAACAAACACATCATGAACCTAGAACGTGCACTGACAAATGAGGGTTTGAAATACTTAGCCTCGAAGAAACCAAATCGAAGGCCCATGCTTTAGTCTCAGTTCAAATTCCCGTTTTAAAAGTTGCTTCATCCAACGATTTAGCCAATAAAGCATATGATGCAGCAAATATTACTTAACTGTGAGTTACTGTATAACAAGCAGGATAACTAAAAACTACAGGCCATAAAATCAAAAAAGGAAACCAAACTCACTGAAAATACCTTGTTAAAGTCGCCTTCCCTTTCTATAAAGTCTAGGTAGTTGTTCCAATTTTCAAGCTCTGCAACATTGAGGGGCCGCACATGAAAGTACGGCCTCCTAATAGCTGTTTCAAAACTAATGATCTTAGAATCGAACTCTTTAGCTTTCTTATACATCTCTTCTCTAATGGTGATATACTTCTCCAACTCCTCTGCCTCTGTTAAGCCAGCACTTACAGGTTTAGGAGACTGTTCTGCAACATCAGATCCAACCTCTTCACCATTTACTTGGTCACCACCCTCCGAATGTGCACCTGCTGCAGCTGCAGCTTCTTCAGCAGTCCTCAATTCTGAGAGTGGCCGACTTCCCGCTAACTCCTTAAAGCTGTTAAAACCATTGGCACCATGAATACAAACCCATTTTCAATATTATGCATGAGATGTTGCACTATCCACATAAATATTTATACACATAAAAGGACATTTAAAACTATGCATGTCAAAGCACTCGTACAATTGTAGTGCATCCTGTATACTGTTACAAAAATCACAAATGATGACACGCATTCCTAAATTTATGAAAAGTAGAATACAAAAGGGCTCTTGTGGAGGTCGTGTGGCTTGTATTTGAACACCTTTAAAGTATTAGGGTTACTCGCATGCATGGAGCATACATTAACTATGGTCATACATCCTGGGACGACAAATTTGGAATCAGACACTCCAAACAAAATTGAAACAAAAAAGATGTGATGTTCAATGCAAACGGTAGAATAGATAGAAATATTTTCCTAAGTTCTTCACTAAATTTCAGGATTTTGCATATGCATATACTCCAAACAATGTTAGACTTATTCATGGATGAGTACATGATATAAAAAGCACGGGGAAGAAATGTATCACGCATACAGATAAAAGCAGTCCCCTACTTTATGAGGCAAACAATTCAGAAACCATCAACAAGAACAGGCAATCACCTCTGGCATAATTTTCAACGCAATACTAGGCATGGAAAACCCAATTATGATAACCAAAAAATAAAAAACAAAGAAATATAAAAAGATAACCCCAGTGTAGATTTATAAATATAAACAAACATGTAAATTTGCAAGGAGTCATCACCTGTTGAAATACCGATCCAGTTGTTGATTTGGATTCTCTAATATTCGTGAATAGATCATGGCAAGGCGGCCCCACTCCTGCTGCATGTACTCATATTCTATGTACTTATCCCAGAGAGGAAAAGACAAGTAATCCGTTCCAACATAAGCTAATCCTCGCTCAAAAAGCCTGAAAGACCATAAAAAAGGAAGTATTGTGATGAGAAGAGTACAAGTATCAATACATATGAGTTAAAGACATCCATGAAAGGGAGACACCGGCACAATTCACTCTAACACCATATGACACTTCTAAACGCTGCATTTACCTTCCTGAAATAAACCATACTATGTCCGTCAAATGGAGCAGTGATAGAGGCCATCTAAGCCATTAACTGGACGAGATCTTCTCAGCAGCAATTTGCATAATGATGCACTTCAGAGTGTCAAAGTTAAATAGAGCCATAATTCATTGACTAAATTACTAAGATGCACGTCTTCATGGTATGGGAGATTGAATGGATATTTGAGGCCAAAAAATGGTATCAGATCCTTATAAACACAAAACGAAACAAAAAGCTACACTAGTACAGCAGCCTCAAAATCAAGGGATTGCACATCAGAAAAGGATTTCTAAAGTGCATTCCCATCAAACCTTTCCGTAATACATGTGAAGAACCACTGTTGCAATCATACTGAAATGATGTTAGAAAGCAGGAACACCAGTTCCTTGCAACTGAGAAAAGCATGCAGTCATAAACTACCAAAACAAAGACCAACAATAAGAATGCATAAATGAACAGCTATTACCTTCTAACAGTGTCTGGATCTCCATATGTGCTTATGGCAAATATGCAGTAATGCAACCAGATGTCAACTGAATAGGTAACACCTTGAACTGCTCGTTCGAAAACCTCCACAACTTTATCCATAGAACCTAGACGTGCCTCATGATCCGCATACTTTTTCCAATAACCATAACACAAAGGAAACTCTGCTAAAAACGCATCATAAACTTTTTGAATTTTCAGTATGTTATCCTGCATAAGAATGTTGAGCAAATGTTAATTCCAAAGAGGTGCTAGATGTTAAATACAAATGAAATTCAAATAGACAATGAATTATGAAAGCAAGAAGTGGTGACAAAACAGTAACCAACAAGACCTACAGTAATAACAATTAGAGTCACTATAGAAAAAACAAAGAAGAAAGGAACATATGCATTCGAAGGTATCTGCTTTCATATATCCACTTATGCAAATCCATGGGAACGTCATGGCATACTAAGAGAACTGATCTCACATAATATCTAAGAACATATACAAGGCACTATTAAGTTCACCATTCTGCAATCTCAGATGACCCATACTTGAATAAAGAGAGTTTCTCACAAGGCACTATTAGGTTCATAATTCTACAACACCCATGAAAATCCCACTGCCATCTCTTGATGTGCTTACGTTGGGGAAAAAGTGAAACAGGAACATTCAACCATATGCTTCGTCTAATGACTCAAAATTCAAGCTAACATACCTCTGCAACTTTCTCTGTCTCTTCAATTAAAGCAGTCCAGGCATTAAAATCCAAGGAATCAGCTCTCACAATGTTCCAGAGTCTATCTTCTTCGGCAGACATAGCTTGGGCCAAAGAAATAAATAAATAAATAAAAGAAAAAATGTAAAAAGTTAAATGAAGTGAATCCAGATTTTCAGACGCATAATCTATAAGGAGGAACAAAATAGCAAACAGATCAAATCATATGGTCAATGGTAAAGTTGTCAAGCGGCTAAACAAAAGTCAACAAAAAAGAGAAATAGCATACCAGAACCATCTCCAAATTGTTGTACATCAACAGATCCAGCCACATTATCTGAAGCATCTCCATTATCAACAGATGAAACAGTTCCTGTTCCAGAAGCAGCAACACCATTCACAGAAGAATCATAACTAGCAGCATGAGATGACTCCATGGCTTCATTTTCATTACCAGCAACATTCCCACTAGCATCTGTCACTCCAACAGATGGTTTAGTCTCGTATGTCGTGTAACTATCTGATTGTTGAATGTGAGAATTGGGATCCGCAGAATATGCATCTGCAGGAGCAGCAGAAGTAGAAAACTCTGTGGTATCCTTAGAATGCAAGGCACTAGTATCAGGAGCAATATTTGAGTTGGCATCAGTGTAGCCCGTCGTGGTATATCCTGCTGATGTATATCCCATCACTGCAGATGTTTGAGCAACAACTGTCTCACTATCCCCCATACTTGACGATCAAATTTTTGCTTTAGTATCGTGCAAACTGCGAGAATATAAACAATAAACTTATAAGCTCTTCAACAATTGAGACAGCAAGAGTGGCACACTTAAATACATCTCTCACTAACAGTTTGGACAGAACAAGTATGCAAATAACCCTTTCATGACTTCAATCTAATCAATCCCAACAACAAGAACCCAATCCATATAAATGTGGTGGGGGAAACGAAGGTTAGGTTCATTGCATTGAAATTTACACTTTATATTGGATAGGATAAATAAAAAATTCAAGTAATCTCGATGAATTTTAACAATTTATATGAATTCTCCCTTTCCCAATAAACAATAATATGTTACACCACTCTTTAATTTCATAATCGAAATTTTAATTTTCTAAGAGAACCTAAAACAAGGAACTGTACCAAATTTAAGTGTGTTTTATATCCAATCTACATACGTGACCACTAAGGCCACTAACTCATTGAAGATTAAAGAGATTATAGTCAAATTAAAGAAGCAAAGCACAGACTATACGCTTAGCAGCAAATCAAAAAAGACGAGAAACCTAACCAGGATTAAGCCTAGGGTTTGGCAGGATAAACCCTAATTCGAAAGCGCAACAAAGAAGGAAGGCGAACGGCGGTGAATGGAACTCGCAGAGGAGGTACCTGAGGCCAGAGACGGCGTCGTTTTCGATAGAGTTCAGCTCAGCTTCGAGGAAGATGGAGATTTTGAAGCCTTTGAGTAAAAACTTTTTGGTGGTAAAACGAAACAGCAGAAGAGAGAGAACAGAGGAAACTTGAAGCGGTGGTAGGCGTAGGGCAGGTGACTCTTTTTATTTTCTTTTTCTTAATTTATTCGTTTCTTTTTAATGACGTGGAGCTTTTCTTGAATGTTGGATTTGGGCTGTGCAGATGATGATGCCTGGGCTTTGATCAGGCCCGTCCAAATTTTGTGGATAAAGACGTATAGGCATTTTGTGAATGACCATAGCCCAATCCAAAAATATAAGCACACTGCTTCCCTGTAAGGAGGCATTTCTGCTTTCTAAAAATCACAGTTTAACACAAATGCAAAAATAATTCATCAAAAGCATAAAAGAAAAATCAATACACACATGTCAAACTGTGATTAGAAATATGGCGGATAAAATTTACCATATTATTTGTTTAATCGTGTCGAAAAATTGTCACCCTTAATTGCAATTGAGATTGTGGAATTACATATGGAGGAGAAAATGTAAGCGTATGGATTTTGTATTTTTATTTTGGCTTCCATTGACAATTTTGTAATAGGACAATCATTGTATTTTCTCAAGCTTTGGTTTAGATTAAGAATTACATCTCTAGGTATTCTTATATGGCTACATGATGAACAACAATGGGTTTGACAAAAGGTAAATTTTGCATTGCATAACATTGCATTTTCTAACTTCCTGAAGATTATGACTAATCATTTTTCCTTCGTATGACTAGTCAACCTTAGCCTTAGTAGGATTTCCAGCTCATTGTTTCCAGTTGGATTCTACGCATCTATTTTGTCCTATTCTGTGAAATTCCATGTTGTCTTGTACGATTCTAACTTAGGAATTTTTGCGTAAAATCCAATGCATTCCTCATTTGGTAGCCCTGACTTTGGAAGGCAAGTTTTGGAAAGTTTCTTTGCAAACTTTCACTTCTTCCTCAAGAGTAACCTTCATATTTTTCATCTTTGAGTTTTCCAAATTTTTTCTTTTTGAAAACTGCATTTGAAATATGAAAACCTCATCTTGCTAGATCAAATCCTCTCTCATATATATCTAGGTTAGATTCAAGATTGATTTCTTCTAGAGTATGGTTTCTTGAAGAAATTGGTCATCTTCTCTTTGAATCCAAATTTCGTTTTTGTCTGTGTTGGAGCTAGCTAGCTGGTGCCATAGGATGAATGAGCTGAAGAAGGAGCTGTCATTGCCATGAAGGACCAAGTTGCTGGTTTTGCTAAACTGGAGAAGAAGATTGCACAAGGAAAGGTATAGCTCATCTTCCTAAATAGACCTAGAATTTGTTGAGTTTGCTAGTGTTTCTTTGTAATAATCTTTTTGCTTAATGGATTGCCTGGTCGGTTAATGACCCCCAGTTTTTCCCAATTGTGGGTTTCTGGGTGAACAAATTTCTGGTTTGCATCTCTTAAATTTTCTGGGTTTGTGTTCTTGACAGTTGACTAGTCATCACATATATTTCTGGGTTCATGTTCTTGTGGTTGACTAGTCATCATTTTATGCTGTCTGATGCTTACTTGATTATGATGCTTTCACACACTTTCATCATAGTCGTTGCTAGCACAGGGGATGCCTAGATTGATGGGTCCTTCTGAGTGCCTAGGTTGTCACTAGTAATTCTCTAGGCTTGCAGGTACATATTGATATGCTCTGTATATGTTCTTGGTTGTGATTATTCATGTCAGACAGTTGACTAGTCATAAGAGTATTGGTCAATGTCTAAAGTGTGTGAAGTTTGTTGTGGTTTTGTTTGAGTGTCATTTAATTTACCCCTCGTCACCTAAGTGTCAATTTCAATTGGTATCAGAGTGTCAACTCTTAACATAAATAGAGAGATCATTTGGGTGCTAATTGGTATTAGGTGTGTAGATATGGAAATTGATCAAATTTCTCTTTGCATTTGATAAGTGCATTATTTCCTATATTTTTATACCTCTTTTATTTGGTTTTTGTAGGGAAAGTTAATTAAAAAGAGCATTATTACCTTACTTTCCTTATTTTCAGCGATTCTGCGCTCTTGGAAGGATTTCAACTGAAAATCAACTTTTCGAATGAATTTTAGCACAAGGCCAATTGGAGAAGAAATCTAAGGCATTGAAGATCATTGTATCAAAGTTTCATAATTTTCTACCAAGCCAAATGCTCCAGACTTGCAAGTCAAGACAGCCTAAGTTGAAATCCCGTCAGAACTGCACTGCTGTTGAAGATTGAAGATTTGAAGACCTTTCCGATTTTTCCTAGTGGCGTGTAATATATGCTTGGAAAGCTTAGAGATAAAGCTACGTTTCTCATATTTTTCCAGAATTTACTAGGAATTGGAACGACCTCAAAACGTGCGTGCAAGATGGCTGACGTGTTTCCAAGTCAAAGAAGGATTCTTTCCTAATTTGTTTCCTTAATTGTTTGGGATTTTGTTTTACTTTAGGAGAGTTTTTCCAGACCTTTTAAGAGTAGGGTTTAGTTGTTTTACACTATATAAGGTCACCCTAAGGATCTCTTTAGAGCATCCTCCCATATACCATACTTTTCCACCAACTTTCATACACCCAAAGAAACATCAGAGAGAGCCAAGGATTTGCTGCTGCACTACTTGAGGAGCTTTCGAAGGTGTTCCTGTGGAGACTCCGAAGATCAAATTCATCTGCCAAATCGGTTTTATGACAATAATTCTCTTGTTTATATTTTCTTTTGTCATGAACTAATTT